AGAGCCCTCCTGGCTGTGGGAAAGCAGGGAGTGAAGCTGGCAGCTCTTGGGGAAGGACACCCTGGCTGCTCACTTCATTTCTCCTCCCACGGCTTTGATTCTCCTTCTCCTGCCTGCCCAGTGCTGAGCTGGAGCCTGTCACATCCCACTCTGGCACCCAGGGCTTTCCCCAGCTCCTTGCAGACAGGCTCAGGCGGGATCCATGCTTCCAGGGCAGAGGAGCTTGTTAAAGAGCCTTTGTGGACTCCCCAAGGTCAGCCAGAACAGACAGCATCCACTAATCCAAGGTCATTTCCTGGGCTAAAAGCAATAAAATGTTTTATTGATAAACTGAAGAGGGGAGAGAATACGAGCTAAATCCACTCTCAGACATTGTGGGCCATGCCTGGCATGTTCTACCTTTGCCCTGGCCCTGCCTGGGATAATACACAGGTCTTCATGCTGGAGAAATGAAGAAAATGTTTTCTGGTAGGGGCTGAGCATTTGGCTGCCTTCCCTGCCTCCTCCCAGCATGTGGCTGGGCAGTGCCAGGGATTGCTCCTCAGAAGCATGTTCCCAATGCTCCAGTGGCGTTCTGCTGTGAAGCTTTGGCTCCATTTTAGGGACTGCAGCTCAAGTGTGAAGAGGCTCCAGTGTGCAGCATCCTCACCTCCCACCCCAGCAAGCCCCGCTGCCCTCCTTGTTCGGGACTGCTGGGCAGGCTGGAGTCTCTCCAGTCACGTTTGCACCACAGTGGTTAAAAAAGAAAAGGACGGTGCATGCATGTCAGCCCTCCTTTCTTCCCCCTCCCCGCCCCAAATAATGCCGTTAATAATTAATCGAATGAGAGCTTGCAGCTCCTGGAAAGCTGGCACTGGGACCTCCCTCCTGAACGGAGCTGCTCAGCTGGGCTTAAAACTCTTCAATAGGAATATGAAAGCTCCATCTGTTCCACGTACCCGTCCTTCTGAAGTGACAGCGCTGTCCCTCCCCAGCCAGCAGCCCTGTCCCCCCAGAACAGCCCTGCTGCCCCAGGGGCAGGGCTCTGCCCTGCACCCAGCTCTTCCCGCAGCAGAAAGCTCCTGCTGTTACCCCCACCCATGCCAGCTGCTTCATCCAGCTCCTGCACGCCCTTTCTTTTCCAGCTGGGACCCTTCCTCCCCTCTGCCAGGGTGTTTTCATTAACCCCACGCTAAAGCCAGGCTTGGGCTCTCTCCTCCTCTCCCTGCAAAGCCAGACTTATCTTTGTTGCCCCTTGGCTGGGCTGTTTCTGTCCAGGCTGCAGATCCTTTTGTTCTGCACACTGTGTGTCCCCCCAGCCCGTTCTGTCCCGCGTGGGAGGCAGGGCTGAGCTCTGCTCCCCCCGTGCAGTTCGTGGTGACCCGGGGCTGTTTCAGGGGCTGCACGGAGGACAGAGCCAGGCTTGCATGTGAGGTGGAGCAGGGGCAGCAGCCCAGTGCCCAGGTGAGCTGTGCCCACCTCTGTGCCGGCCCTGGCTGCAGCGAGCTGTGCCTTTCCTGCCAAGGGACGATTGCCATCAAGATGCGATGGGTACAGAGGGGGAAGAGCCTGTGTCTCCTCGAAGGGTGTGGAGAGGGGGCAAGAGGAGTAAACTCCCGGCGGCATTGTTTTCAGAGGAAGTGTTCAGTGTAAATAGAGCTTGTGGGAGAGTTTGTCCCGGGCAGAGATGAAAAGTCCGTGTGACAGGCTCAGGTTATAAATGGCTTCCTTAGATTGATGTGAAATCAAAACATTTCTATTTAGACGAAGAAAATGAAGGGGGATGTTTACTTAGCCTGGAATCTTTAAACAGTGATTTGGGGTGGGGAGCTCGGTCTGGGGGGAGGGTGCCTCTCCTGGCTTTGGGGATCTGGCAGCCCTGACCTTGGGCAGATACAAAAATCCCTCATGCAGCAGCTCAGCTTCTCTCCTTCTGCCCGAGAGAATGGAACACAGGTGCTCTGGTCTCCTCCAACCTGAGGGCCATGTTCAGCATTTGTCTGTAAGAAGGGTTTCCCTTCTGCTCGTGGACTTGACAGCCTAAAAGAAGGGAACAGGAATGTTGATAGAGGTAATGTCCATCCCATTCCATAGACAAGGAAGTAAGGGAATGGAAAGATAAAATGATGTGTCCAGACTTGGAGAGAGGTGGTTGCAAGGTTGGCAGGAGAAAGCTGGAAGTTCTGACTTCCACCTATATTGGAATAGATGAGATGAAGATGTGCAAGAGCCCTGGTACTTCAGAGCAAATCCCATTCCAGGAAGGTCTCTGGGAGGGTTAGTTTTATAGATCAGGGAAGTGGCATGTTTTCAGAACTTGCTTTATTTTTAGCTTAAACTTTAGGAAAATATTCTCAAAATGTTAAAGAGAAAAAAATCCCAAACACAAGAAGGGAGCAGGGTAGGAGCTGAGGGGCAGAAGCTGCGGAGGCAGAGGGGCAAAGCCAGGCTGTGTGAGACGGAAGGAGGCAGAGCAGGAATGGAAGACAAGTTGCAGGCTCCCTGGAATCGCTGCACACGCGGCAAGTGCAGCCTCAGGAACGTCTGTTCCTCTTTTCCTTTGAATAAATATTTATATATTCATTTGCCAGCTGGTGCACACACTTGGCTGCTCACCTCCAGACCAGAATAATGGGATCTGCCTTCCTGGCAGAAAGGGGTAGGGCAGTGAGGAGTTGTGCTGCCGAATGTCTGCCTCCCAGTTGTCTCCAGCTGCGAGCAGTGCTGATCTCACCCGTTAAGCAGGGCTGGCTATCGTGAGAACATGGACAGGGAATCACCGGGCGGTGTTTGGGAGAGAGGCTGGTGATTCCGTGCTGACCCAGTGCCCTGGCCCCGGGCAGGCACCGCACGGAGGCTCCGTCCCAGCCACCTGCAGCCAGCGGGGCTCTCCTGGCCCTTGGCCTGACCCACATCAGCCGTAGGTGTCCTGGCCAGGCTCCACTTGGAGCTCACAGCAGCCTCCTGAGATTGCCTCTGTGGTACCGGTTGGGCAAAGGATTGGCCTTCACTTTGTGCCCTAAATAGTGGGAATGCAATTGGAAGGGAAGGTGCCAGCAAACAGAGACTTGCAGCTTTATGGGCATCTGCCTGTGCCCATCTGTATGTGCGAGGGCTGCAGGCTTGTGTTGGGGAATGTGTGAAAAAGGAATGTGTGGGGGAAGGCACAGGAATGTATTTTGGGGAGATGGGACTTCTTAACCTGTACATGTAGGACTGTGTTTACGGAGTGTGCCAGCGCATACACACAGCTCTTTGAACAGCTGTAATTTCTGCATGGGGAGGGACGTGTTTGGGAGCATCGTGTGCTTTCCCTTCGTGAAAGCATGATTGCACGTAGGTGTTAGTGCCAGGGGGTGCGTTTGCAAAGTGGAGGAGTACATTTTGCCTCCCTTTGTGTAGGGGGCTGATATATTTGTCGGGGGGTTATTTTTCTTGCAGTCCTTGACAGGAAGCGTGTCTGAAGCTGTCAGGAGTTTACGCTAAGCAGCCACTCTCTGGCTGTTGGACAGCAGGTCTAAAGTTTCAGTCTGTTTGTATTGGGCTGTCATGTTATGGGATTAGGGGCTGTCACGGTGGCTTCTGGGTGCATTGTAGGGGGTCTGATTAATCTCACTGTGCTTCTGTGGAGCAGCACCTCTGTGCTGGTGACAGGGAGGTGTGGGCTGAGCTGCCACGAGGGACTCCTGTGCAATAAAGGAACCCATTCCCATCATTTGAGGTCTGGAGACATGTTCTGTTTTGCTCTACTTGTGACCAGCCCTCTTTGAGCACAACATAAAATCCAAGAGCCCATTTTGGAGGGACCTCCACCTCCAGCAATATCCCCACAAGTAACTCTTGTGGCATGTGTGTTACCAGCAAGTGTTTTATTGAGTGCTCTTCCTGAGCCCTGGAATGCAGGGCAGGGTCTGCCTTGGCTCTGCTCTGGGGGAAGAGCCAGGCTGTGTGCCCATTGCAGCCTTCCATCCTTTAACCCTGCTTAGTCTGGGCATCTCTCAGAGGTATCAGAAATAAAGAGAGAAATGAGACAGTGCAGCTGCTTTAGAATAATTATTTTGCTTTTATTTGGGATTGAACCTTGTTAATTGTTGGTGCAATAATTATGCAAGTGACTCTGATAGAGACCATTTAGTTCAAGATTCTCCATGACCTTGAAGTTAAGACCTTACCTTCTTCCTCTCCCCCCACCTTCTCTCACCCCTCCTTTACTAGCTGTCACATATGAATAAACTACATTAAAATAACAAACTCACACTAATTAGCTGATTGTGCTGGGAAGTATGAGAGCAGAATTTCCTGTGTGCAAGAGCAAGCAGGCAAAGGGGCCTGATCAGCCAGTACCAGCCCACAGCAATTTTCTCCATACTACTGTGACACACCAGTCTAGTTCTGGGGCTCTAAGCACACACACTTTGCCAGGGCTCCTGTCCTCCATACTGGTTCTTTTAGGTGCATACTGGTTCTCTTCTCTAAGACTATGCACAAACTCTTTTAGGCGAATTCCTCTCTGTCCATAGGGTTAGGCTTGGGAAGCTGTTGTCCTTGCTAGAGATGCTTGGGTGCAGTTGCTGGCTGGTGTGGTTTTGGCACCTACTGCATCTGGGATAGAGCTGGGAACCTAAAGCAGGTGGTGCTGCAGTCTGAAGGAGAGGGAAATCCAGGCTTTTAACAAGTTTGTATCCTGCCTCAGCCAGGAGCAAAGATTGGTCTTGTGCTCACCTGCTGGAGATGTTTGGGGCCTTTCAAGCCCAGTTTTGTCCCAGCACAAATAAGTGCCTCTTTCTTGTGGCCAGTGGCATATTTTGGTCCCAGCAGGTTCAAAGGATGCTTCTCACCACGCTCTTCTGGCTGGGCTTCCATTCAGAGCTTAGGAAGCACACAGTAGCTCCACCTTCCCGAGGGTGAGACTGGCCATGCCCGAAAGCCCATTGGGTTGGCACCATTCTTTTGCTGTTTGGGTTCAGGTTGTCAGACCCCACTAATGCCCTTCCTTGCTTCCTTCTCCTCTCTCTTCCCAGCTGAAAGAACTCTATGCACTGACGCAGCCTCAGGAAAACCCGCAATGGCTGCCAAGCGCAAAGGCGGCCTGAAGCTGAACGCCATCTGCGCCAAGCTGAGCCGCCAAGTCGTCTTCGACCACGGGGGAGCCGAGCAGGCACGTGCAGACAAGGGGCCACAGCAGGAGAGCAGCAACAAGGACCTGCCCCAGCCTGGCACCAAAGAGCTGGGCACAGAGTTCTCAGATGGACTCAGCCGCGTGCAGAAGATCGAGGAGGACAAGAGGAGGGAGGTGATCGAGAAGTGGGTGAACGGCGAGTACAACGAGGAGCCCTTGCTGGGGCGAGCAGAGGGCAAAGAATGTAAGGGCACCGAGAGCACAGAGGTGCCCCCCGAAGGGGTTTACATGGTGCAGCCCAAGGGCTGCAGCGACGAGGAAGATAACGGGGACGAGGCAGATGCTCTGAGGGGCTCACAGGATGGCAACTTCTTGGATGACAGGGATTCAGATGGGCCAGCGAAGGATGATGCCTACCGGTCCTCCAGTGGCGAGCCAGGCTCCAAGCTGGGGGCAGGAACCACCTCAGGTAAGCCCTCTGTCCCCTCCATTTCCTGACACAGGACAGCCTCAGGGTTACATTTTCTGTGTCCATGCCAGGTCCTGCAGCACCTGGCAGCCAAGGGGAAGGGTGAGAGCCCGATCCCCTTGCAGAGACCTGTCATTTTGCTCTTGGGACCATACGGAGTTTGCCTCTGGCTTAGCCTCCCCTTCCCAAGAAGGGTGGTGTGAGAGTGCACGTGGCTGGATAGCTCTTTCCAGACCACAAATCCCTGGGGAGGACAAATCCCACCCTCCAGACTCCTCCACACCACTCAGACGGCCATAGCTGTGGTTTCCTGGTCTGGTATTCCCACGAAAGCAAAGAGAAGCAGAGATTTGTCTTGTGACAAATCCCAGGTGGATTCTGCAGGGTGTGCACGCACGGGCTGCCTGTGTTATCCAAGCACACTCATGGCCACACGTGGCACCTTGATGATGAGTAGCTGCTGACCGCGGGAGCCCCAGGACGAGCTGGGACAGGGCCAGCAGCTCTGGCAGGGCCGCCTGTCCCGCGGCCCCCCCGGCCCGGTGCCGAGCGCCGACCTGCGGGACCCCGGGCGGGGCGGGGCCGCACCTGTGGGTGGGGCCGCACCTGTGGGCGGGGCCGCACCTGTGGGCGGGGCCGCACCTGCAGGACGGGCGGGAGCAGTCGCCGGGATGAAGGTTCTGGAAGGAGTGGCAGCCGAGGTGTTCCTCCAGGGACCGGACCGGGGGCAGCCTGCAGGCGGCCGAACTGAGCCGGGGCAAGGTTGGGGTGGTCCCCAGAGAGCCCCTGCAGAGCCCCCAGCACTGAGCGTCCCGACCCCTTCTTGCTGTTCACGGCCCCTCGGCCGGGCTCAGGTGACACTCGTGTCGTGTCGTGGGGCTCAGGTGACACTCGTGTCGTGGTGTTGCCTCCCCTCATTAGGGGCCCAGTCCTCCAGCTTTGCCACCCTGAGCTCGACCCCGAGCTGCTGAAAATGCCGCTCCCACACCTCAGTTTCCCCCACCAGCTCGTGTGTTCTTCCTCCGGCTGTGTATTTCCTATTTTCAGACCGCTTCTGCTTCATTTTTGTGGTTCAAGAGATCTTTGGGAAAGCCCTAGATAACTTTCTTGCTCCATTTCTGATACCCAGGTTTCCCCCAGATTTACTCGAGGGGGTGTATGAGCACTAAGCCTTCTTAAAAGCTTTGGGTGAATTGAATTCTCTCCATTAGGGCAGAGCAGCTCCCTCCCCATTTGTCACTCAGCTGGGCTGGAGCTGTAATTGAAAGATCTTCCCCTAATCTGCTCCACCTGCACGCACCCCTCCCCTGATCTCAGCAGTTTGTGAATCCATCAACTTTGCTCCTTTTGTGTGTGCGCATGTTTTCCTCCTCCTGTTAATAATGCAGCTGAAACTCATCTCCGTCTGTCCGTTCCCCTTCTGGAGAGGCACATTCTCTAGTCTTCACGAGTTCAGTGGCAGCGCACATAATTATGCATATAAGATATAAACAGAGCTGTTTAATTATCCTTCGCCACATCAGTGACAGAGTAATTAACAAACATTGCAAGATCAATGAGGGAAAGTGTGACCTTCAGTTTCCTTTGATAGGAAAGCCCTTGTCGTTCCCAGACACAAGGTGATTGTGCCTGGACTCTGGTTTAGTTTGTTTTAATTCACACCACTCCACCCCACCCCACCATTTGCAGCTTTTATTTGCTATGAAAACTAAAAGGAGGGGAACGTAAATGTAAAAAAAAAAAAATTGTTACCGAACTAAGGAAAAGGAAAAGAAGCTGAGGTTTCTCACTGGGGGAAGGGATTTCAGTAAAATACCTTTGCAGGGCTGTATTGTCAAAGGATTATGCAAAAAATGGGTAACTGTTTGGGAACGGGGAGGGGGGGCTGAAGCTTCATTTATGTCTAAGGCAGGTAATGGCACATGAGGGGTCCAGTTTACATATAGAGCCACGTGGGATTTGACTTGCAAACAGACGTGCTGCCACGTCTTGAGCGTCTGCTTCGAGAACCTTGTTAGAAATGTCATTTGCAACATTTCCCTGAAAGCACAAGAAACATCCCTTGCTTTGGAAAGGACAAAGTTATTTTCCTTTACTTTTTCTGTCAGTGTTCAGGAAATGAATTTTCACCTGTTTATCACCAAGTTCTCTCAAGACCTGATGTTACTGGGTGTGAGATTTGGAACTTCCTCTGTCAAAGAGGAGGAATTTTTTGTAGGAGTTGGGGGAATCACAGGAGTCAGATGAAAGGAGAGCAATACAGCTCTGCCCTCCCAGTCCAAGTGGCTTTGGGGGAGTCATCACAGAAACCTTGATTTGAAGATTGTGAGCACCAGTTGCTCCCTATGAGAACAGGGGGTACAGAGCTGACAGTGCTGAGCAGTGTTTAAAACTGAGCCCATGCTTGCATCAGCTGGAACCTTGTGTGAAAAGCAGGAGCCGCACAGAAAACCAAATCCTACATCTAACAGGCTTTCTTGGTCAGTGGGAGAAGTGATCCTAGTTATATGGGGATGACAAGGGCTCCTGCTTGCCAGGGTCCTGGTGTGTTCACACTGTCCACTTTCTGGGGATTCAGCTGGTGCCCATGTCTTCCATCAGCACCTCTCGTGGTCTGTTGCCAAATCCTGGCCACCTTTGTGTCCTTCCAGGCTGACAGGAATGCTTGTTGTGCATCAGGCAGAAGTTCACAGAGGTTCAGTCAATGCTATTCAAGCCTTTGAAACAAGATGGAGTTTCTTTGTGAGCCTCCCCTTGGAAAAACAGGACTGAGGAGTCGGTGCTCAGTCTTGCCCTGTGTGCTCCTCCCCGATGCACTTGGGAAGCACATTCAGGAGTCACAAAGCCGGTGTCTGCCAGGAGATGGGTGTCAGAAGCTGATCTGGACGTGCAGATCTGTTTCTTCATTCATTCAGGCCCCCTCTCTTGCCCACTGACCGGCCCATGCTTCTCTGTGCACATTTATATATAGCAGTGAGATTTCTCAGTCTCTGACACGGATCCCTTTCCACAATCGCGCACTGACGCACACGTACCCAGGCAGATTTTCCTACACATGTTCTTCACTTTGTGTGTTACACAGTGGGCTAAAGCAGTCAGGAGGAGCTTCCCCCTGTACAAGCTTTTGGATCTGCCTTTCTTTTCTTAGCTTCTTGGCTAGGTCTCTTGGAATATTCATTGGCCCTGTTTTCAACCAGGAGAGTTTTCTCTTCCTAATTTCCTGGGGAGTCTCCACTTAAGAGAACGTATATTCCAAATGCCAGTTTCTTGCTCATCATCCTGTATCCCCCAAGTCTATGTATTTTCCCTCCCAAGCAGAATAAAAGACAGAGCCCTGGCTGGGATGTCCCATCCCCCAGTATCCAGACCTTGCACTCCATTTGGGCTGTTTTGCTTTTCCTTCCATATATAGTGTGCTGCTGCAGGCTATTTTTAGCGCCTTTTTTGCTAGCTTCGGATCCTTTGTGATATGATAGCTGCTCTGAGACACACAGATCTCTGCTCTTTGGCAATGCCCACAAATGGAGAGCAGAGGCAAGGGGAGAGGGAGCCCTTTATTATCACACAGGAAAGGAGAGGAAAATGCCATGCAGGGAAGGGGGTGGAAAACACAGGGATAATGCTTCCTGTGGCTTCCAGGACTCCTCACAGGGAGTGTTTCCCAACTGTTGTCCTGCTTTGTTTTCTCTGTTGGTGGATATGAGGAGGGTTTTCTGTCAGCTAGGTAATATCAATTACCTCTTCACCTTTGTCTGAAAATGTATGTGAAGTGAGGTGGCTGAGTCTCATACGATGCTTCTGGTGAGCCAGCTCCCTTCTCTAAGGTGCTTCCACTGCCTCTGTCCTTCATGTTAGGTGTCCTTCATGTTAGGAGCAATTAAATGCAGGTTGTCTTAACTTCAGGGCATGTGTTGGGCTCATGCTGGATGAGTAGAGCTGCACTTCTGGCAGGGAGCAGTGGGAATTGGCCAGAGCTTTGTCTCGGATATGGGTGAGGAAAGACTGAGCAATGCCAGCAAAGCTGTTGATCAGGGTGGGTGTTGTGATCATCTGGAACCAAATCTGAGCAAAGGAAAAGCAGAATTCAAGGCGGGTTTGGGGATTAAATCCATGGCAGTGAAAGCTGAACTCAGATTTCACAAAGCTCAGAAGTTCTGAACCATCCCACACCTCTTCCTATAGGCTTGGATTTTGCACCTAACTGTTTACACCAGTTGAGGTATAGCCACATGGTACAAAGATGGGACACAACGGCTTTCAGGGCAGTGGCTAAAGCTAGCAAAAATCACATTTAATAGCTTGATTTCTTATCAGAGCCTCAGTGTGGTATTCTTTTTCCCCTTGCAGCTTGACACAGGCTGGCTAGAGTTTTTCTTGGAAGTGCTTGGAAGTCAGGGCATTATGAGGGAAGCTGGGGGTTGTTTTATAGGTCCAGAAAGAAAGGAAAAGCAGAACTGGGAAAGCAGATTTAACGGAAACAGGAAATTGTTAGTCCCAGTAGGGAATTCATGGGTTCATTCTCTTTTGTTGGGTCCTAGGGTTACACTGAAATGGAAGTGGGGAAAAGAAAAAAAAGAGGTGAAGAGAACTGCTTTAAAGCAGAATGAATTTTTTTAATACACTGTGTGTGAAAGATAAAGTTGTCCTTCAGGCAAGTCTTCTTACTGGACCCGGTGAGGAGTGGTTCTGCATTTAACATCCTGTAAGATTAATACCAACCCATGAGGTTGTGCTATGCCCTAAGCCTGATACTGCAGAGGCATTGCCACCCATTCTGTGACTAACAGGGTGTTTATTCTGGAGGCAGGCATCCCAAATCCCATGCAGAATGCTGGGCTTAAGTGCCCGGAACTGGAAGGTCATTTTGGGCTAAATCAGATCCCAGCAGGTGTGGCTTTGTCCTTGCCTTGCAGGCTCCAGGCGTGTTCTTCACATCGCCTTCCCCAGAACCACGCACACAGGGAACCAGTGCAGCCGCACTTGAGCTGCAGTAAAACAGCTATTCCAGGCAATCCTGGAGCAGGAATGTGACCTTCATGCTCTTGCCCATTTAGTGCCCGTCACAGGCAGTCTTTTCCTCCACAGAGCCCTGCGAAAACTGATTTGTGGGAGCTGATAGCTATTGAACTTCGGCTGTGCTCATTGACAGGCTCTCGTGTGCACAGAAATGCTCTCGTGTACGTGCCTGCCTGTGCAAGTGGCATTCCTGGCTGTCAGATTCCCACATCTTAGGGATCTTTGGGGTCTACTGACCTGTTCTGTGGCAGCGTCTTTGTGCCTTCCTTTTCCACTGTGTTTCAAGGCAGTGTTGCTTTGTTTTGAGTGGGATCCCTTGCCCAGAACTTCCCTTCTGCTGTCAGTGCACCTCCCTGTGCTGGCTGCCTGGGAAGGAGTGTGCTTGCCCATTAGGGCCAGAGCAAGTGTTGAGTAAAGATGACGAGGGAGGTTTGAAGGACTCCTGCACACAGTAAATCTTTACTCTGCAGGAGAAAGCGAGAGGGAGAGGAGGAGGAGCACTGTGTCAGACTGGAGCCCGAATGAGGCTAAGCCAGCACATCAGAGCAGTCTTTATTTCCTCCTTTACACTGATATTGGGTGACCTCCAGATGTGTGTTCTTCCCATCCTGGTGGGCTGTGAAACTGCCTGAGGGAGTAGGGGAGGGAAGAAGGGAGGGAGACACTCAAGGAAGGACAGCTTTTGCTCATTCTTCCTCCCTGTAATCAGGCTCTGTTAGACTAACCCCTTCCTGCCCCTTCCCCGGAGCCCTGGCTTTATCCCCCTCCCTGGAGCCCTCATCAGGACAGCAGCTTTCTCTCCTCAGCCTAAATCCTGATGGAGGAGAAGGCTGTTCCTTGCCTATTTTTCACCTGTGTGGACTTCCCCCTTTCCTGGTGTTAGTGGAAGCTGTTCCTGGCTGCTTGAGAGGCTGGCTGTGGGTTTCCATAGCATTCACTGGACTGTGGCCCTTTTCCACATGGCAAGTAGTAGCTGTCCGGTTATAGGGATTGAGAAGGAAGAGAGCAAGCTGAGTGAAACTTTACAAAATGGACAGGGAAGGACTGCAACAGAGATGGGGAGCTGCCCTGCCTTTGTGGTGCCTTCTCTTCTCTGCTCTTTCCTGCACTCCTCATTGCCCAGTTTCTCATGCACGCAGCCTTTGCTGCTCTTCCCCTGCCTCGATTCACCTCCACCTCTGCTGCTTTCCTGCTCTGTGCTCTGTTGTATTCTGCTCCACCCCACACATTGCCTTGCCCATCTCCCGTATCCATTCCACACCATGCTGTCCTGCCTGCTCTCAGTGCTGCTTGCTCTTCACCAACACACACGGCATTTTCACATGGCTATTCCCCCTTACACATGCTGCCATCTATCCTCTGTGCACCTCCTTCCATACACAAATATACACAAGGACAGATCTGTACAAACCTCGGCGTATTGGCATTGGTCTCACTTCCAGTAAAATTACTTTTTCTTCATATTAGGCCAAGGCAAGAGTGCAGAGACATTTATGAAACTTTGTTTAATGTACTGAAAAGCCATCGGCTAGAACATTTAGGAAATTGATTTTCCTGGCATTGATGAACTCTTTTTATTTTACCCCAGTATTAATTACTTTTTTTTTTAAACAAATTAATTTAAGAGTCATAAAACCTAACAAGTGAGCCAAACGTCAGTAGATCATGTTCCCCTCTCCCCTTCCTCCCCCCTTCCCTGCTACTCGTGCTGGTATGGGAGGAGAAGAAAAATCAGAGCCTGGTGTGAGCCTCTCCTCTGGTTTCACTGCAGGGGAAGCTTCATCACTGCGGGATTACGCCGCCACCACCATGAACGAGTTCCTGGGCATGTTCGGCTACGACGACCAGAACATGCGTGACGAGCTGGCCCGCAAGATCAGCTTCGACAAGCTGAACGCTGCTACCTCAGAGGCCGCGGCCAGCGCCGCCCTGCCCGGCGACGACGCCGGCAGCAAGCGAGCCCGCTTCTCCAAGTACGAGGAGTACATCCGCAAGCTGAAGGCTGGAGAGCAGCTCTCGTGGCCCATGCACTTGGCCAAATCTGAGGAGCTGGGCTCCAAGCTGGGCAAGGAGCCGTCCTCAGTGCTGGCACAGCCCATCCGCGTGCCGGGCCCGGACGCCTCCATGCTGACGGAGACCAAAGCCACCATCCTGCCACTGCCCTCTCCCAGCAGTTCCCAGATGCAGGGCCTGATGTCACGGGCCTCCAAATACGACTTCTTCATTCAAAAGCTGAAGACGGGTGAGAGCATCAGGCCACAAAATGGCAACACTTACAAGAAGGCCTCCAAGTATGACCTAGAAAACGTCAAGTACTTGCACCTTTTCAAGCCTGGGGAAGGAAGCCCAGATATGGGAGGAGCCATCGCCTTCAAGACAGGCAAGGTAGGCCGGCCTTCCAAGTATGATGTGAGGAACATTCAGAAGCTCACTCCAGTAAAAGCTCCAGTCCCCAGCCTGGCCCCTGCTTCCCTCGCCAGTACCCCCAGCAGCACTCCCGTGGCCGGGCCAGAGCAGTCCATCTCATTGCCATTCAACACTCCTGAGTACCTGAAATCAACTTTCTCCAAGACAGACTCCATCACAACTGGAACAGTCTCTACAGTAAAGTAAGTGTACTCCCATTTGTCTTATCTAAGTACTAGAGGGGGATCGTACCATAAGTCTGTGTGTGGTTCAGTGGGCAATTCCAAGTGCTTGCACTGTTAAATACTGTGTTGTTCATGGGATGGTTCTCTTCGCCCTCTGCTCCTCTTTTACACCTTACATCTCCATTTATCTGGTTTGCACTCAGGCTGTGACTTGCCATCAGCAGTCATAGCCATGAATCTGGAATCCAATAGCTCCTGAGTTCATATGTTAAAATGAAAGAGGAGGGAACACGGTGCTGTCAGCACCATGGTCAAGGTTGGAACTACTTTTATTTTCTTCTCCCTCTGGTTTCCCAGGCATCTGGATGTGTCTGTAGGAGAGCCTGATTCTTGTTTCCATTTAACTCAAAGGCATGACTCTGCTAACTTTACTGTTAGCAAGATGGGGCTTTTTGTTTGTCCCAGATCTCAGAAGATATTTTGGCAGCTAATTCCCATCAATTTCCATAGGAGTTAGGCATATACCTACTTCTGTGGGACCAGGCCTGTGTCTTCTCAATTTGCTTACACAAATAGAGGTGATTCAATTACCCCTCAGACTGGGCAAACTCATTAGCCCAATTACCACTAATAACCTCCTGCACATACGTTGCCAGCAGTCTCTGCAGTGATGCCGTTGACTGAATGGAGGGATCTGAAGGCCTTGCCAAACCTTGGATTACTTTTTAATGTGACTTCCAGAGGTGGGAGCTGTAGAAGAGATACATATGTATGTCAGCCTGCAGCAGGGAGGAAGGGAGAGACTTCTCTGGTTTTTTGTCATGGTTTGGGTTTTCTTGTTTCTCACTGTGAACCTGGGGCTGTTGTGATCTGTGAATCCCAAGAAGTCATTTGTAGTAAGTCCAGAGCCTTCTGTCTTGCCCTCTGTGCCATCACACACAACTACTGCTTAGTCCTCTGATGAGGAAAAAGGCTTGTTTTGTGTTTGCTACGTGGACCTAGGAGACCTTGGGCTTGCTTGAATGCTTTTTGCAGTCCCAGCAGTCTGCATCACTCACTTTCCCTGTTTCCCCACATGGAAGGCAGAGCCATGTAATGATATCTCTCTTCCATGTGAAATGGTTGTTTATCAGCTGCCTGCAGGCAGATGGGGAGCTCCATGGTAAAGGTGTATGGGAAAGGACAGAGGATTATTAACATCTGCATCTGCTCAGGATGCTCGGGGTCCTGCTCAGGATGAACCTGTGTGTGCTGCAGATGACAGGCAGGGACTCCTATTACTGAGAAACACAGTGTTGTAAATATTCCTGTAGACTCAGTGCCCTGTTGTCATGGGTGACTTGGTCCAAGAGTCTTGAGAACACTCAGCTGCCTGGGGCTCAGTCGCCATCCTAGAGCTGTGCCCGAAGGCACAGGCAAGATTAACAAGCCTCTTACCTGCTGTGGTGCTGCACTGGGATCCCAGTTTGTTTTCCTTTCCCCTGCTCATTTTCTGCCTCTTGCCAGATGTGGGTTTGCCAGCACCATGGTCATTCTTCCTCTGGCCACAGGGCTTCCTCAGCTGGGGCATCACGATGGGGCTGCAGCTGGAATGGAGGTGACCAGGGCCTTCAACCTGGCACTTTTCCTGTCCTAATCACACTGCAGAGCAGAATGGGCTCTGGTCCCTTCTCCTTCAGGCTACTCACTAGATACAGGCTCCCATGAGGACACAGCACCTGTTAATTGTGCTGGTGAAGGAAGCTCTGTGGTGTCTGGGCCATGGCTTCCCAGTCCCCACTGAGTTCAGTAACCTGGCAGGAATTACCCTTTACTCTCACACATCTGCACATACACCCTTGCCATGGGTTTAAACTCTCTTAGATCCAATGCTCTTAACCTGCCCTGAACTCGTCTACCTTCAAGTGAACTCTGTGCAAAAGTGTCCTTGTTTAAACCAGGCTTTAAACCAGAGCTGCGGGGAGGAGGAGTGGAGATTGGGCACAGGCAAAGCACACAAAGGAGATGGTGTGCAGCCTGTCTGCAGGTGCACTGGGGTGGCCCTAACTCCTGGGTAGGCTGGAGTCTGGCCCTGCATCTCATTTTCCCTCTTCCTGAACTCACTAAGATGTTATTTCTGTCTGCCTCCTAACGATGTAAAATAATCCAGGCTTATGTGACAGTTGGGGTGGTTTTCTCATTGATTAAAATACATAACCTGTCTGTTGGAGTTTTGGGGTATCGTGTGAAATAAAGAGGCATTTGAAGCCCCATCCAGGGGCTGGAGCCACTGTTTCAGTGCTGGTCACAGAGCACCAGGGCTGCTGGCCACAGGGAAATGGGCAATAACTCACAGCATGGCTGGCAGAGAGAAAATTCTCCTGCAGCTGAGCCAGGGGCAAAGCTTCCATGCACACAAGGGCAGCACTGCCAGGTGCCTCAGAGAGATGTTTGTTTGCATGTGGCCATCAATTTTGCAGAGGCATTTTTTCTGTAGAAACAGGTTTTTGTGGTTGATCTTCTCAGTTTCTCCAACAAACTGCTGTGAGTCCTGCAAAGAGGGAGCGTGCAGGGAGGGTGGTAGGCAGCCTGTGTGTGCTTCCCTAGGAAAAGAAGGAACAGGATTTGAAGGGCAAAGGGGAGGGAATTTAAACATACAGGTGTCTTTGCTGGTACCCTTCCCTGGGCCCTCTGTCCTGATGTGTCAGAGATGTGTGAGAGAAGCAAGGAGTTTAAGCTGTGCCCTGTTCCTGCTAACCAGCTCTGCCCTGTGTGTCTCTCACTAGGAATGGATTACCCACTGACAAACCCGCCGTCAGCGAAGACGTAAATATTTACCAGAAGTATATTGCCAGGTAGGCAAAACTTTTGACTTTGCTGGGGAGAGGGCTGGGAGTAAGAAGGTGGAGTGGTGGTGGGAAAGACAGGTCTTGTCTGGATCAAGTGTTTAAACCAGACGTTGGCACTTGCATTTCCCGTGGCATCTGTACTTGCTCTGCCCCCCTGCTTGGGAGAGCAGTAGCTGTGAGAGGTATAAGTTATGCCAAGAGCATGCTTAGCTCCCTGGAGCTGTTAGACTTTGTGACAAATAGTGGAAAACTGCTTCACTGAAGAAGCCCAGGATTTAAAAGGGTGTTCTACCTCTTGGCTGTTCTTTCTATCCACTGCCTTTTTCCCTTGCCATGTCCAGTGTCTGCAGGAGGCAAACAGAGAACATCTCAGCTCTGAGAACCTAGGCTGGAGAGATTCACAAGTGATTTGGGTTTAGGGGGCTCTTGGCATCAACATGGGATGTTCATCCTAGAAAATGTTTGCAGCTCATTTGTCTGAGAAGCCCTCACTGAATCAGGTGCAGAGTAGGGCACCTTATGAGCAGGGGCATGCTCAGGTCAGGACAGTGATGCTGAGAGGAAGCCCAAGGCTGTTGTGGTGAGACAGAGTGAGTAATGCCACGAGAGCCAGAGGGACAGAGGAGGTGATTGCATAACACCTGTCTGGTTTAGAGCTCATGGTATAGAGGGTCCATCAGGCTTTACCCCCAGCCAGTTGAATCCTCCATCAGTAATGTGAGAAAGCTCCCAACAAAAGCCCCTTGTATCCAGACAGACACGAGGGAAGGAAGCAAGCACTTCTCTCCAGGAAAGACTCTGGAGGGTTTGCTCCCACCAGCACTTGGGCACTTACTAATGAAAGGGGAAGGGAGTGTGTACTGTGCTTTCCCACCTTGCCAGAGCCCACAGAGAGTCTCCTTGTGGGACACAGTCAGCTGCTAGGAAAGTGAGGGGAACATTTTGGCAGGGAAAAAGAGAGGGAGCAGCACTCTCCTCCCTCAAGAATGGAATGAGAAGTGACTTAGTTTCCTCCCTTTTGCCCAAATCCCAGATGTAGGTGAAGGGGGCAGAAAACCCCATGGGAAGAGAGGACAGTTATGCCACCACAGGCAGCTCCTCAAGCAGCAATGCCTCAAGTGCATGTGGGAATTCACTGCCTTGGGGGATAGTACAGTAGTAGAGTATACAGAATATAGGAAGGAAAGCAGGGGTTTAAACCACTCTTTGCATGGGGAAGAGGGAGCAGCATCCTTTTATTTCTGAGATTGCAGGAATTGCAGGGATGGCAGTGGGAGAGGAGGTGGCACCTTTCTGTCCCCCATTCCCCTCTCAAGCAGAGAACTGTAAACGCTTGAGCCACATCCAGTGCTCGTGGAGCTCTGCAAGCCCCTTGCCCTGGCTCAGGCAGGTAGCTGGGAGAGGACTGTGAGCTGCCTCAGGGACACCACATCCTGCTTAAAAGGCTCCGCAAGCCACCCGTTGGCAGTGCAGCCACTTCCCTTCAATTTACACACATTTAAAAAAACAGTTTAAAGCCTTAAAATCAAGGGGTGGGGGGAGAAAAGACACAACACTCTTATGTCTGTACTGCATAATTAGCTTAATGAGTTTGCCAAAGCCACTGCCAAAAGCTGCCCAGGGATAATCCATTCTCTCACACAACAAAACAAAACCTCTTACTTAGCTAGTTTGGGTTGGGTTGTTTTTCCCCCTCCTCCTCCCTGTATATTTATAATTAAAAAAAAAAAGACCACAGAAAAAATTATTATTATTATTATTAGTGCCTCAGCAGATGGTGCTTCTGGCAGCACTTGCTTAAATATTTATTTCTGTGTGGGTTTCCTCCCCCCTTGTAATTGGGGTGGGTTTTTTTTTTCTTCTTTCACATCATCGTTACAGAGTAATGAGTCTGTAAACACTCTCTAAGCATGCTGACTTCTTTATTTATTATTTTTATTATTATTTATTTATCAGCTCTTGCCAGATCAAGACTTTCTGGCCAAAAAAAAGAGAGTGAACCGATTAATGTAAAGGAAGAGGGAGTGGGTTGTTCTTGTGCAAATGAATCTATGTGTCTGTATTGACAGCTTAGGAGTTTGGATTTTTGTATCAGTGTGATGAGCTGGTCTGTGAGTTTCCTTGTTTCAGGGGTGTGTGTTTGTGTCTGTTCATGTAGATTCAGGGGGTGTTGATGTTCTGCAGAGTCTGTGCATGTAAATGTGTGCGTGTGTGTGCGTGTAAGTGTGTGGTGTGTAAGCTTTCCTGTTATGAAAAACCTAAACAGATGCTGTGCTTTAAAAATTAATAGCTTTGAACTGTTTCAAGTGTCAGAAGAAACACAGGATAATATAACCCTTTAGGAGCCCAACCTTGCACACTGAAGGAGCAGAATTTCCCCTTTGTGCTGGGTTTGCCACTTGCCTCCTTCCCCCAGCACACGGCTTGGTGGAACACTTGTCTGTCCCTTCCTGTGCTGCAGACACCACACACACCTTTCCGTGGCACATGGAGAGGAGGGTAGGAGTTGGAAGTGCTGGAGTGCTTGTTTAGTTGTTTTTTGTTTTTAAAACTGAGCCTGTGTGTGATTCCTGCTAGGGTACTTCAAATTACTCATCTCCTGGAGTCAGATCTCGTTGGTGTCTGGCCCTTCTTTTACTCCAGCTGGTACCTCTGGTCATTTTGCATCCTCATTTTTGATGATAATTTGAACTGCTTTGTATGTGTCAGCAAGGTCTGTATCGTGCTCTTCTCTCTGCTGGCCTGCACCACGCAGTTCTCCAGCCCTGCACAGCCCTTTGCTCTTTTTCCCCCGTCACATCAGTGGCACAGAGAGGAAGCTTCCCACAGGGCACTTACTTTCCTTGAAGAGCTGCTGGTGGTACTGCTGACATAAAGCCCTGGACTAGCAGGACCAGTTGGTTACGTGTGCTGTGGAGCCACAAGTCCCTGGTCAGTGCCACGGTGGCTCTGGAGGCTGCCCTGGACAAGCCCAGCTGTTGCCCAGGCGTTGAGCAGGAATCTCTTCCTCTGCTCTCAGTTCCACACCTTTGTTTGTGCAGCCAGCCCTGCTGTTTGCCTTGTGGTTTGTTTCTTCTCTGCTGCTGAGGTTTGTTCCAGTTTCTCAATCACCTGTTCTGACGTGATCCTGATTTCCTGCAGTATTTCTTCTCCTTCCCCAGGGAAAGGCATGTCTGCTCCTGGCATCTGTCCCTGTCTCCCTTTGTGAATGCTGAGGCAAAGAAGTCATTTAATTTTTTAACAATGTCTATCTTTTCTGTCAATTAAGTCCCCTTTCCATCTCCTAGAGGCCCTGCTGTCTCCATAGTTGACCTCCTCTTCCTTACTGTGCTTCAGAAATGGCTTATTTAGTATTGCTTTACATCCAGACTTTTTCTATCCTGTAGCCTTGCGTTACCCCACCTTACAATGATCCATAATCTTCCCTGCTCCTGCCCCATTCCTCGATTGCCCCAGGATACCCTCACTCCTCTCATTTTCCTTTTTATCTGTTGCCCTTCCTCTTTTCTTTCCCTTGCCCTTTATCATATGCACTCCTGCTGTGTTTAGCACTTAAGTGACGTGAGGAACCTTTGAGGAACCTTTGAGCAGATGGCACTTTATCTTTGAATGTTTCCCCTCTGAGTCCCCTTCTCTCCACTGCTTTTCCCTTTCAAGCTCTTCTATGGTCCTCTAGAATTTACACGAGGGAGTTCATTGCACTGATTACCCCATTACTGGATCATCCCCTTGTGCCAATTCCTGGTGTGGCTGTCAGTCAATAAATTCTGCGTACTGACTGTTTGTATTGTAGGTATTACACGGCATTTCTGTCTTTCTGGTGTTTTTTGCCACCCTGTATGTCAGGAGTTTTCAACTTTGCTGTATGCAGCTTTTCTGATACCCTACTAGATGGGCTTATACTTAAAATTTAGAATCCGTATTTGCCCAGCAATTATGTGTCTCTTTCTGTTATGGGAAGTTTCTGAAGCTTGCTGGTGTGATATCTAAACTCCGTTCTAGAATTGTGTGGTGTTTAGTTCTAGGAACTCTCCTTCCTTATGATTCCCCAAGTAAACAACTTAGATAACGGAGATGAATTTCAAGGGGAAAGACAGATTAGGGATGTACAGGACCCGAGTGATCCGGCTCAAGAAGCGCCTTTAAATAGTGACAAATCAGCGAGGGAAGGCGCAAGGGTCACCGTCCTCGGGGGGATAAAGGAGGTGGGGTTTAATGCCATAAACATGTGAGATGAGAGCAGGAGCAGGACTCAGTTTATTTGTGCCTTGCTTACGGGCACTGCTGCCAGGACGGTGGGTGACCGTGTGTGCTGTGTCCCGTTTGCAGGTTCTCTGGCAGTCAGCACTGTGGCCACATCCACTGCGCGTACCAGTACCGAGAGCATTACCACTGCCTGGACCCCGAGTGCAACTACCAGGTACAGCTCAGAGCACTGCACGGCTCCAGGCGTGTGGGGGGAGCGTGCATCCTCCTGTGCCTTCCTCCCACGGGCATGCACATCCTCTGCATGCTCTCAAAGAGGACAGGATATGTTCTGAGTTTAACAGAACTTTATTTTGCTGCCGTTTAACTCAATCTAATACCATTTAACCAAACTCAGACCACTACGACGAGAAGCCGAATGTAGATCAGCTCGAGTCAGTGGGAACTACTCCACATTTATATCAGTGAAACACCAAGAGCATAAATTGTGCTGTGTTACCAAGTGTGCCTGGAACTAGGGAATGCTGATCTGTTAGTCTGTCTCTTTCCCTCCTGCTGCCCCAGTGACTTTGTGGCAGCAGTATCTGCAGCAACCCCCCAGCAGGAGCAGCAGCGGTGTGGGATTTGTGGGCAAGGCACGGGGGCAGGAGTGATGCTGTAATTGCTGGGAGCACTGCCAGCCCATGCACGTCAGGCCAGCAGTCATGTGCTGTGTTTGTTTACCCTTCTGCCAGGTCCGGACTTGGGCACTGGCACTGCTGTGGTCGGGCTGATGTGTGAGCAGCAGTGCCAGCCTTTGCCTCTGCCCTGCAGCAGACACAGCTCAGCCCTGCCCGGGGAGACCTTTGGGTCTCCTGGGGATGAGTCTGACCACAGCAGAGGAAGTTGATCTGGAGCTGCTGGGCTTGCCTGTGGGTTTTCTATTGATCAAAGGAGGGTTTCTCTCCGGGATGCACGTACTGGTCCTTCCAGCCCAGCATCAAATAATCAAGATGAGTCTGTCCCAACTGTGGCAGAGATATCCCCGCACCAGAAAGTGAGGAACACAAAGGCTGGAAAAACAGAAAAACCTATTATTATGATTGGCCTCATGATTATTTCCTAAGGAGTCTGGAAGCTGCTTGCAAAGGAGCTGTCTGGTCTCGCAGGGAATAAGGATTTAGGCTGCTTTTTAAAATGCAAATTATTTTATGGCTGAGATATATTTTAGAATAAGTAACGCTTTGTAATAAGTGGGCACAAATTAACAATGATTGGCAATAGCAATCCTGTATGTACGCCCTGGGAAATCATAGCTCCAGCCTCCAAGGGATTTCTGTTGAAATCTATATCCATATATTCCCGTGCCAATACCAACGAGATTGATCAGGATTGATATTATAGGAGGAAAGAGTGGAAGCGATAATCATTTGTTTCCTATGAGGCAGACTAGAAAAGTTGTTAAACATTAGAATACAGGCCTTTTCAATTACTGCTCAAAATAAATGGATATTGATTTCTTTTTTAAAAAATCAGATTTACTTTCTCACCTTCAGTGGTAAATATTGATGTCTGTGGGAAATAGAAATAAAAAGCTTCATTTTAAAGGCACTTAGCCTGCTCTGACAATGGGGTACCCCTTCATTGCTTCAAGCAGGTAGAGATTGAAAAGAATATTCTGGTCATACAGATTTAGCTCTGAGCTGTATTTTTCTGTAGAAAAGCATCTGTGACTTGAAGCAAGTCTTGTGTCCCTATTTTCCTAATAAAACCGTCCTACCTTCTAGGGAACACAAGGGACTTAGAATGGGAAGAGAGTGTAAAGGAGCAAAGGGTTTTTCCCAGTTTCTAGTCCAACATGAATGTGGCAGCCAGTATCTTGCTAACCACTACAGTGAGTGACTTGGAAGCTTGGCTTACTTGCTTGTAGGCTGTTCAGTTCACTGGTTTGCTTTCTAACTATAGCACTTCTTGAGATAGTAGCAGCTAAAATTATGCTAGAAGAACTGCAATCTTAAAGCTGCAGGGAGCAGATTCTGGGCATCACCCCAGTGTCATGTTTACTCTAGAACTTTTCATGTGTATTTACTTTCCCTTTACCAAGAAGATACATGCACACAATTCCTCTTTAATCTGATTCTCTTACCGTGATTGCTGCCAAGCTTTTAACTCCTGGTCCCATAAGTTTATTAACAACAACAAAAAACACCCACCCTGCCCCTAGGATTACTCACCCACTGGCATCATGTGTGTCTCACCGTGTGTGTGTGTGTATCTCTGCAGAGATTCACCAGTAAGCAGGACGTGATCCGGCACTACAACATGCACAAGAAGCGGGATAACTCCCTGCAGCACGGCTTCATGCGCTTCAGCCCCCTGGACGACTGCAGCGTCTACTACCACGGCTGCCACCTCAACGGCAAGAGCACCCACTACCACTGCATGCAGGTGAGCTCCTGGCAGCGCCTGGGGCTGTGCAGGCCACGGGGGGACATCAGTAGCCTGGCTACAGGGGACATTCATGGCCTGGCCACAGGGGGACATTCACAGCCTGGCTACAGGGGGACATCCATAGCCTGTCTCACTCGTTTCTGATTCAGGAACCTGGCTGACAAGTCTATGCCCTCTCCTCACTGCACGTGTCCTGCCAGCTGTTGGGAATGGCAAGGGGAAGCCCCATTCTCAGTTTTTAGAAGCCTTGTCCATGCAGTGAGGCAAAGCAGCTCTCAAGGTTTTCTCATAGTCTTGGACTTGTTCAAGCAAGCCCCATTCTCTGAGACTCAGGGACTTCTTTAATGGCACTGCACTGTCTCTACTCAAATTTGATCTGTCCCTCCCTTGAAACCAGATTTTCTTGTGGCACATCTGCCCTTTAGCACTGGGTTAATTTCCTCCATAATCAATTTCCAAAGTAATTAAACTTTAATGTCACATATCTGCACTTAACACCCGTGGTTCTCCATGTGCTTTGCCATGTGTGTGCTGTAGGCTGAGCCGTGTTTCAGGGGCAGCCAAGCTTCAGCAGCAGTGTAGGCAGAGCTGGAGCTCTGCACAGATGTCACTGTGATGCCTTCACTGTTTCAGATGTGAACACACAACATTGTTTGGGTCTTACCCTGACCATTCCTCAGGTTCAATGGTTCGACGTGGACTCGTTTTAGTAGAATTGTGGCCTAAACCATTGCCCTGAGAATGTGCTGCAGTAACAAGCAGAGTGATCAGCCAACCCCTTGGTGACAGATTTTCTGGTCTGAAAAGTCAGGCTCACTTCCTGACCTGTCCCAGCAGTTTAAAACCCCAGTTAAAGTCACAAGGCCTTAATCACATGCTTAAATGCTTTGCTAAGATAGACTTCAGCATATGTTTAACTTGAAGTCAGGTAAGCTTTCTGAAGTCAATGGGGCTTAAGCACATACTTAAATGTTAGGCATGCACTCAAGTTCTGTCCTGAGCAGGGGCTGGTTGAAGCATGTGCTTGCAGCATTTGATAAATTGGGAATTTCATGTGTCCTTCTCTTGAGGACATTTCTGTTACACTTCCATAGTATCGATTATTTAGTTTCTTCAGTTGAGCAGCGTGGGATTTGTTTGATGTGTTTTAGTGTACGAGGAGTGTTGCACAGCCTTAAGCCACTCCGAGTTGGAATAGAGACCCTCGCTTACACAACTATATATGGCTAATTCCATCCCTTGCCCACTGCCTTCCAGTAAAGTAATGCCCATGTAAGCAGTGTCTTACAGGAAAGGTGTCAGAATATAAACTCCCAATTAAAGAAAATACCGCTTAAATGGCAGATTTTGTGTCATCCATCACATGGGGGTTTTTTTCTTTATGTCCATAATTGGTGTGGATAAAATTCAGTTAGTTGTTTATATAAACTGACATTTTTTTAGGCTTTCGCACCAAGAGCTGCATTGCAAATTATTCCTAAGGACGCTTTTGTTTAATTCTTTTTTTTAATGCCATGCAGGGCCTGTCTTTTTTCAAGGTGTCAGTGTGGAGAGAGAGAGGCTCTTTTATATTGGAAATAGCTAGAGATCCTTTTTATTTTTTTCTCTGGGTATTTGTCATGGGTTTTGTTATTGCCTGTTTGAATCAACCTGGGCTGAACTAAGGGGTGGTGTTTTCCTTCTCTTCATTTCTGAGATGGTGCAGGCATTGGCACATGTTGTGCTAGAAGAAAATAAAAAAAATCCTCCCTCAGCAGGGCTGAGGACGTTTTCAGATTCCAGTGGGTTTTTACTCAATATGGCAAAGTTGCCCCGCTTTACCCAGAGGAAAGCAGGTTTTCAGCATTCCGTCCTCGTCACAGCATTCCCATTCGCTGCACAAGTTTAAAATTATTGAAGTGGGAGTCTTGAACAGTGACAGGGAAAAAAAAGTCACCAGTTTACTAAAATCAGCTGAACATGGGGTTTAAGATTTGCTAGAATGAAACTGTTTATTACAATCTCAAAAGACTGGTTGGCCTCATGTTGCACCAGCATGCCTTACCTCCCAGAAGGATTAAAGAAGTAAATAACTTATTCCCACTCAATTCTGTATTCCCCAAATAGATGAAATCCTACTTTGTTCTGTGTCATTCCCAAGATAACAAAAAGCAACAGCATCTGTTAGTGTTATGTTCTCTTTAAGAGCAGGAGCCCTACTAACTGTTTCCCCAAGCAGGCATGATTATCTATAGCTGGTGTTTTATCCCTCCAGTCCTCCTTTTTCCTTACTGTTTCATGCCTACAGTTTGGGTTGGGGCTTGGGTTTTTTTTCACAACTGCTCTATGCTCTACCAGTCTTTAGATTGGGAATTAAAGTGATGACTTAATACCCCTAGGAGAAGCACACAAATGGAACTATTAAATGTACGTGTGCTACTCATGTATTTATTGCTGCTGGTAATAATGTCAGGCTGTTAAACCGCTGTGCTGATGACTCCTCTTTGGGCCTGGGGTAGGTGGGTTGTAATAAGGTCTATACAAGCACCTCTGATGTGATGACCCATGAGAACTTTCACAAGAAGAACACGCAGCTCATCAACGACGGCTTCCAGCGGTTCCGTGCCACCGAGGACTGCGGCACTGTGGAATGCCAGTTCTACGGGCAGAAAACCACTCACTTCCACTGCAGGTGAGACAGCAGGGGAGGGGAGGAGCCCTGCCTCAGAGCTGTGTGGTCTGTTTGCCTCCTTCTGCCAAGTCATAATTTCAGGAGTATGCACAGGGACTTGATTTGCCCTGCTGTGACCTTCTCAGTACTGCTCCTGGGAGAGCTCGTGTACCAGAGCAGATGTGATTTCCAGGATTGTGCCACAGACCATTCTGAAGGCAGGAGTATGATCTGAGGAGAGGATACCCACTAGAAAATAGAGCCTAGAATCATTTGGGAAAGAGACCACACTGCTCTTCAGAGTGCAACTGAAGTAGGCCATTAATACACTGCTAATAGCACTTCCACGGTAGGGTTCTCTCCAGCCAGCTCATCCCTTTTGGGGCCAGACTTAGCCTTCTGTACACAACTGCTCTTCTATTGATTTCTTGTGTTTTCAGGACAGTTTTTACCTTAGTCCCCTTTACTTGCTGTTTTGTTGGAGCTTTTAGTGGAGGGTGGCTGTATTCCCATGTTCCTGTGGCAGTTCTGCAGGGTGGAATGAGCTTCCCAGCTCTCCCTCACGGCAGCATATCTGCTTGCCTGGGTGTCCCAGGTTAACCCACAGACAGCTCCTCAGCCTCCCTGCAGCTGGGTGTCATTCCAGCCCCAGTCCTTGTCCTAGAGGGAGGTGGGAGACAGCAGCTCTGCCCACGCAGCCAACCACCCTCTCCTCGATGCCCTTGCAGGAGACCTGGGTGTACATTCACCTTCAAGAACAAGTGTGACATCGAGAAGCACAAGAGCTACCACATCAAAGATGATGCCTATGCCAAGGATGGCTTCAAGAAGTTCTACAAGTACGAGGAATGCAAGTACGAGGGCTGTGTCTACAGCAAGGCCACCAACCACTTCCACTGCATAAGGGCAGGCTGTGGTTTCACCTTCACCTCCACCAGCCAGATGACTTCCCACAAACGCAAACACGAGCGCCGGCACATCCGGAGCTCGGGAGTGCTGGGCCTGCCTGCATCACTCCTGGGCTCCAAGGATAACGAGCAAGAGGAGTCCAGTAACGATGACCTCATTGACTTCTCTGCCATGAGCTCCAAGAACTCCAGCCTGAGTGCCTCCCCGACCAGTCAGCAGTCTTCCGTTTCTCTCATCGTCCCAGCTGCGCCCTCCTCTGTGGCTGAGCTTGCTTCCTCACAGGCCACCAAGTCTGCCAACAGCATGACACCAGCCACAAAGATCTCTGGCCTGCTTTCCCAGGCTCTTCCCAGCAATATACCCTTGGCCCTGGCACTCTCCAACTCAGCACTTCCTGGAACAGCTGGATCCTTCTTCCCCATCATCCCCAGTCGGGTCTCTACACCACTTCCTGCCAGCTCGGCTAATCTGATGGCTGCTGGTTCTTCTGGCACCAATCCAGCATCATCTGCTCCTGCAGATTCCTCATCCCAGGCAGTTTCAGGATCTGGTGAGCCAGTGGCTACTTCTTCACCTGCTCCAGCAGCCTCTATAATGGAAAGGATCTCTGCTAGTAAGGGATTAATCTCTCCTATGATGGCCAGGCTGGCAGCAGCTGCACTCAAGCCCTCTGTGGCACTTGAAGCAGGTGAGTTACCTCATCAGTTGTGATAGTGGTGAGAGGCAGAGCAGTGCCTGATGGCTTGGAGGAGAGTGAATGAGAAGCCACTCAGTTGTCCATGGGGCTGCAATTGGAGAGGGGGTAGGAAAAGAAATAAAAGGGGGAATGAATTTGGTTGTGTCTAATTAACCCTTGAGAAGGCAGTCTTGGCAAGGTTTCCTGTGGAGCCTGGCTATGCCCACACGGCCAGAGGAGAGGCAAGAAACATCTTTGCCCATGAAGGGAGCAGGCTCTTACCAGAGCTGAAGAGTTGGCTATGTGTAATTGGCTATAGGCTGAAAAGAGAGAAGCACTGTATTGAAAAGAGAAATTAAGAAAATATACTTTAACCAGTCCTTGAAGGCTCTACTGAGACTCTATGGAGCTTTAGCTGGGCCCAGGGTTCATGGTCCTGTAGCCCATGGCCAGTAGTTTTCCTGATCTGAGGGACTCTTCTGTGCTTGAGCTTTGTTGTCCCAGCTGTGGATTTGGGGATAGTGTTGGTACAGTCCCCAAACGGGACCTTCTTTTCAGTCAGTTCTTGCAAGCCGTGCTCCCCTCTCCCTGCATTACCCGAGGGGAGGGGCAGTGCTCTCCTGCTGCCCCCACACCTGGGGCAGGTCAGTCCCAGCCCGGCAGGTGGAGGTGAGAGCAGGGGGAGCCTCCCCCGCCTGCTGAGCACGGGCAGCTCTCGGTGGGCAGCGAGGGCCGTGCAGGGGAGGCTGTGCCCGGCGGCACCGGGGCTATGTCCGGTTCTGGTTCTGTCCCCCCATCCCTCCCGGATCTGGCCCCGTCCTCCCGAGAGCAAACGGGGGAGTAGAAGGAAGTGATCTGATTAAAGAGGGAGGGGAACCTTCACATACTTTTAAAATTATTGTTTGAAAAATTGTTTCCTAAAGCAGAGAAAGGTCATTGAGGGAACTATTTTCCTTTATTTTTTAATAAAATGCCACTTGCTGTCTGAGAAGCAGCTCGCCGTCAGCTGTACTGCCGGAGGGTAAATTAATATTTTAGTCACTTGGGGATTGTGGAAAAAAGCTCTGCAGACATGTTTCTGTCAGCAACTTTTTTCCCGTCCTTTTTTCTTCGCTGTTTTTCCTAATTTTTTTCCTTGAATTTTTTCTCCTTCTCCCCTTCTGACCGCCCCCCCATACCTCCCCATCTCTCCCCTTCTTTTTTTCCTCTCTTCCTTCAATTTGGATTTTTCTCTGATGGGCTCGGCACTCTAAACCTGCTCCCTGGAAAGAAGCACTCCCGGTTTTTGTGGGACACGCCGGTGCCGGTGCCGGTGCCGGTGCCGGTGCCGGTGCCGTGGCTCCGGGGCGGGTGCGGTGCCGGGCCAGCGCTGTCGCTACGGCAACGCTGGGGCTGGCGACGAGCAAGGGGGCTTGACTAGCAGTCGAAAGCTGCCACATTGCCTCAGCATTAACAGAGTCTTTAATAAACGCTTAAGAGGCAGCCCCGCAAATTAGTTATGACAGTTTGTGCAGAGAATCAGGTCTCCCCCACGCTCCTTCCGCCCTTCTCCTTTAAAGGGCCCATAGCCTGGACAACTTTGACATAATTTTGCAATAATTATCACTTGAAGAATTTCCACGCTGGAGTGGACGTCAGAACCCATCATGTCAACTTGGCAATAAACGCTGACCAGCAATCCCAGTACTTCCCTCCCCCCCACACTTTTTCTTTGCTTTTTCCACTTAGGCACTGATGCCAATGATTTAACTTATTTATTTGCCGTTGTAACCTCATTTTAGACCTATGCTTTCAATTTATTCTTTTGCGCTTAATTTCACTGTACTTCTTGAGCAGGGAATGGCCAACCAGCACCTCCTGGACGGTTCAATCCAGTCCAGGTGAAGCAGGAACCTGCAGAGGCCATGGGACCATCACCTGCCACCAGCCAGGACCCCTTGCAGGAGCAGAGCTTGGACCTGAGTGTCAAGGACCATGGGTGAGAGAAGTGGGTGGGCAGGCACGCTCAACACTTCCCAGCATCAGGCTTTGGGAAGTTTCCATACCTGTAACTCAAGAGGACACAGCATGTTGGTGAAAGGCAGCTTCACAGTGGTTGAGTTGAACACCCGAATACTGGAGGCAGGCAGGCTCACTCTGCTCCCCATTAAGTGTATGTTCTCCAGATGGTTTTTTGGGCTCACATGCATCTACTGACGCTTCAACAAGAGCCTCACTTCTTTGCTCCCTTCTGAAAATCGAGCCACTGGCAAAGCTGTTTTCACTTAGTCCTCCTGTCAGCAATTGCTGATTGAAGCTGCCCCCGTGCCACACCTCAGCATGCTCTTAGCAGTATTTACATTGCTGTAGTCTGTTGAATCAGGGCTAAGGGAAGCACATTCCAGAGAATCTGGACACACAGAGCAGCTGGGTGTCAGGCTAACTCTGGGTCTGCCATAGGCTGGTCTGCAGTTCTGGTGATGGTTGTGCAGGTGTGAATGCACCTATCTCAGAGCATGTGTCCCACCTGCCCAGCATCTCTGCTGAGAGCAGGAGTGTTTTGGGGATTGTGCTGTGTGGAAAAAGTGCAGAGAACTGATCCTGGGGATAAGTGAGCTCCACTTTGACCTTTGTATCCATTTCTTTCCATACCTTATTTAAACAAGCCTCCCTTTGGGAGTCCAGCACTTGGAGCCAACTGCAGAGATCCTAAGGCTGCCTTTCAGTGCAGGATTGAGCCTTGCCTTCCTTACTGCCCAGGGCACCCCTGTCCCTGGCAGTGTGAGCCTTTATCAACATCCCCCCTGCTTTTGTGGCATTTTTGTGATATTTCTGAAAGTTCTAACAGGATGAAAGGGTAAAACCTGGGGGAGGTCATGAGTTAACAAATGCAGTGTGATGCAGTGGACACTGGGGGAAGAGGTCTGGGCCATTTAGTAGTTGAAAGAACTAAATTCTGCAGACCTGGGACCCTCTTTCTGTCCCTCTTGGCTATCACAAGTCAGCGAGTTTGGCCCGCCCAAGGGAGGGGTGGCATCATTCTTCTCCTCTGGATGTAGTAGGTGAGGAGTGAGGCAGCTTGAAGGGAGAAGGATTAATCTCAGTGCTCACAGTCCCTGTGCACATCTTAACTAAACCCTGTTGGTTTGTGTGTTTCAGTAATGAATCAAATGGCCACACAGTCTCGGCAAATTCATCTCTTTTATCCTCGCTTATGAATAAGGTAAGAGCCATCCATCAAACGCCTTTCATTCCCCCCACCAAGAGAAATTAAAGCTGCGATAGCGGGGAAAGGGGGGGAAGAGATGTGTTTGTTTTTTAATGTTTTGCCTCTAATAAGATGAGTTTGTACCATTTAAATTTTGAGACCATTTTTCATCGGGTATAATTTCAGAGCCACTGCTTACGAATTAATTTAATGAACTGGCTGAAGAAATATATTGCCGCCTCTGACATCTTTTTTTTTCCCATCCTTTCTAGACAGAGGAGGGCTCAAAAAGGTTTTCTTTTCTTTTCTTTTCTTTTCTTTTCTTTTCTTTTCTTTTCTTTTCTTTTCTTTTCTTTTTTTAGGTTTGTTTTTTTTTTTGTTTTGTTTGGGTTGGTTTATTTGCTTTTGGGAGTGTTGTTTGTTTTTGTTTTGTTTTTGTTTTCAGAATCTGGCCACTTCTCTCACTTTCCTTTTATAGTTACTAATTTTGTTTACTTACTTAAAAACATTTTCCTTCATTTGGGGAGGGAGAGAATAATCTGTTTTTATGAAAGAGAAGAAAAAATTAGAAGTTTTGAAACAAAATAATAAATTTCTGTCTCTCTGATGTGAGTAATGGTGTCTAACAGAGTCCCCTTTACTGTGTTCTAGAATATTTATTTTAGATAATGCACAGTTTCTTTTCCTTACTTTTTTGTTAAATTATACATCATCTCAAATGTGTATTTCTCCTTCACATGATAAATTCTACTGTACCAAGATTAATTTTGTGGCTGTATACAACTGCAGTAGAGATCAGGGCACCCTTTGAGCCATGCTTTAATATTCTGCTATGTGATAGGTTTTATAGGCATAACTATTGCCATCCCCTTGGCTCTGGGTGTTACTTGCATCAAGGCCATATAACCCTCAAGAGAGGGCAAAGTGACTTTGCCTCGTAATCTCCCACCTCCTTTCTTTCTTATCACTGTTTTTCTCTGTGTTGTTTAATTTCTGCATTTATCCTTATGTCCCTTTTCTCCTCCTTTGGCTCTCTGTTACACTGGGGTTTGATTTTCCCTTTTAAACTTAATTTCTTATTTGTTCCTTTGTATTGTCCCTTTAATGTTTCCAAATATGCAGGTCTTTTTTAGTGAGCAAATCAATTTAGTTACTCTGCTCTCTGGGGTCACGAGTCATTCTGAAGGTCCCAGATCAGGGAAATTCTCTTTCAGTGGAGACTTCACTTGAAAATCTCCAGGATGATAAGTGATTTAAGTATATGTTTAGAAAAAAGCATTTCTTTGTGTGCAGTCTGACATAAGGCCCTTTAAGTTGTGCAAAGCAAATGTAGCCCAGGTGCAAATTAGGAGTCAGGTTAAAGGACTGGGATTAACCAATGAGATAAACCAGCAAGGAGTAGAACCCACTGTGTGTGTGATTGATGGAACCAATCCCAAGACTAAAGATTGCAGAGTCAAGCTCAGTCTGCTCTGGAAGACATCACACTTGCCTCTTCCTCCTGCTGCACACAATTTCTGTCCATGGGGAATCCTTCATTGTTTTTCTAAGAAAAAGAGCCCTTTACCAAAGTGGAATTTCCAGTGGAAACACACAGCCTGAATTTCCAGCCATTTCTCCAGCCATAAAGAGTTGCAGTCTCCACACAGCAGCAGGGGCTTTACCTTCAGGGGGCATTAAGAGAGCCTCAAATAACCAGGATTCCTGTAGCCTACTGCAGTTTATTTAGGGGGCTGTCAAGCTTAATTAACTGATATTTATAAAGGGCTTCTAGACCCTCAAGTGGGTGGAGTTTCCAGTGCAAGTATTGGGCAAAATCCTGCATTTTATCCATGCTGTGAAATTCGCTGTTGTTACTGGAGGTAATTGAGAGCACAACAGAGAAAGAAAGAGTCTGGGAAATCGTGCATTTATTCTGAAAGAAAATTTTCCCTCTAGGCAGGCTTGAGTAACTTCATTTTTCTATCCTGTACATCATACACCTGGACCTCTAAACCTTCTCTGTGTAGATTCTATTTGAAGACTTTCATGCAATGCAGATTGTGAGTCCAGGTCCTGCTTCATGGAGGATGTGTCCATTTAGCACAGAAAAGTGACATGATTTTATTATTGAAGTTAATAAGAATTTCCCAGGAACCTGAGACAGAATTTTTTCCCCAGCTGAATGAGATTTTCATCCTTCTACCCTCACACATACTTGATAGTCACTAAAAGAGACATCCTTGTGGCTGGGGTGACTAAATAAACTAGAGTTTACCAGTTCTACCACCAGCACTTTGTAGGAGCTACACAGGACTATTACTGTTGAAGCCCACACACCTTTTCCAGAGTCAAATAGGAGATGTCTCCACCTCAGTTTCCTTGTGGATAAAGTAGACATGATGCTTCATTACTTTAACAAGATCCATGAAGAAATGTTCAGTGGGGACCTGAGTGCTTTATGGTGGTTGGGTGGAAGATGCAGAAGAGTGAAGTGGTACTGACTTCTGCTGATGCAGTTGGAGCAGCCTGCACGGACTTTTTGTCTTCTCTTTTAGTCTTTGAAGACCCTGCTCAGTGTGGGACAGTCCTGGGGGTGGCTGTGGCTGTGTGCTGGGCTTGATGCAGTGTCTGTGCTCTTGTTCCAGATGTCCAAGAGCAGTGCCAGCCTTGGCAACCTGCTGAACATTAAGGCAGAAGGGGAAGGCAGCCAGGCTGGGGAGCCAACTCAGTACTTGGGCAAGGCAGTGAAGGCACTGGTCCAGGAGAAGCTCTCTGAGCCATGGAAGATGTACCTGCGCAGGTAAGGAGGGATGGAGCTGGGATGGAGGAAGGGAAAAGTGTTTCCTTTGCAGTGGCTGACTCTCTGGCTCACCCTGGACACACAGAGTTCTCTTGAATGTGAAGGAAGGGAGACTCAGTAAGGAAATGGAGCAGGTACAAAGCTCAGCCACGTACAGACACATGCACATACATGCCCAGACAGACACACCCAGGCAGACACAGGGGTTTGTGCTCTGACACACAGAGTCACCTGCAAATGCCAGTGCACACTTTGGAAATCACAGGCTTTAATGGAGAAGACTGGAAAATCTTCTAGTCCACCAGCTCCTGGCTGGTGTGAGACCCTTCCCTGCACTCCATTTACATTTTGTCCAGTCTGGTTATTTTCTGACCTCTGGGAGCATTATTCTACCACCTAGAAAGTTTCAGTGTCACAACCTTTTCCATGGTGTGTGCCTGAATTCCACTTTTTGTAGTTTTGTCGTAGCTCTGTTTATATCCCCTTGAACCACAGCAGATCATCCCTCCCTGCAGCTGGAGTTGAGCCCTTTCAGACAGTCACAAACTTTCAGCATTCCATTTAACCAGGCTTACTTCCTTCCTTTAATCTGCCTCTGGATTAGTCCGTTCTGCCTGCAGCTCCTGTTGCTCTCCTGGTGTTCCTGGATGGTGCAGAATTGCCCCCCTCCCAACAGAACAAGCTTCCTGCCCCCAAATAGGCAGCTCACAATTTGTTTGTTTGTGCACAGAGTAATGTACAGTACCATGTTTATCATCCCGTGACACAGAATTGCTTTCAATGTTGTTCAGTGAGTCCCCAGTGTTTTATACACTGCCCAGGTGTATTTGCTGTGTGTTTCCAGACATGATTCTCCTGTTCTGCACCTTCTCCCTTGTCTTGCCAAACCTCTCTGTGCTCTTTTTCTCCTCTTGCACTGGTGCTGCCACCTCCTCCCAGCTGAGTATCTTTGTGAATTTCATAAACACGCTGTTTACTCCTAGATCACTAATTAAGATGTTAAATAAACTCAGGCTAACCCAAGTCCCCCTCTCAGCACTCACAGATGCCTCCTCCTCCCAGCTCAGTGTGGTACTGGTTGTCATCAGCCTTTGTTTATGGTCCCTCAGCCAGTTTCAAGCCATGAGGTGGCATTACATCCAGGCCAGTTGGAATTAATTCTAAGCATATGCAAGACTGAATCAAATGCTTTACTAAAATCCAAATATATTGCATCCCTTCATCCACTAATTTTGTAATTCTATCAAAAAAAGCAATTAAATTTGTCTGGCAAGATTTATTCTTTATAATCCTGATGCTGTTTATTGCTCATGGTTCCTTTATCCTCTAGATGTTTAATGATTTTCTCCTCCCTCTTAATATTTGTTCCTTTACTTTACTGGAAGGAGAAGTTAAGGCCAGAGGTATGATAATTGCCAAAGATGGCTTGTCTTTTTTTTTTTCCCTCAAAGAACCAGTACCTTGACTGTTTAATTTCTTTTTTTTTTTTCCACTTATGTAGTACCTCCTACTTCTCTATGGCTTAAAAACCAGCAAATGGTAATGTAATCAGTTTGGGAGTTAATTTCCATTGCACTTCAGGACATACATCATCCAGACTGACTGATTTGTGCATTTTTATATTTTTTGCATGAGTCCCTTTATCTGCTTTTCTAGAAGGTCTTCACTACATCCCAAATTCTCTGCTTTGTCTTTAGTTTTCTCACCCAAAGCAAATTTTATAATGCAGCCATTTTTAATTCATCACCTCCCTTTTTGTGGGAGGCCTTCTTTCTAGGTTCAGCACTTCTTGTCTCTGATAAAACAGCCCCTTTAGTTTGCAATAACATGGTTTCTTCTCTCTTACCCCACAATTACTTCCCTTCTTCTCCTCCCTGTAAGCCATTACTGACAGCACATGTTGTATATCCACAGACCTTCCTTCTCCAGTACAAGTTTTTTTCTCTTTCCTTTACCCTCCCATTGGTGAGAGGTCCCTCCTGGGACCATACAGGCTGCTGTTTGTTTCTTGCTTTCCTGCTCATCAGAGCAATTGTAGTTTGTTGTACCTTAATTATGCAAGATTCCCTTGTTAAGTTTCAAATCCTTCCTGCCAGCGTTCCTTTCTTGTTTTCTTGATTCCCTGTGATTCTGGAGTTTCCTGATATTACATGTATTTGTGCTGCACTTATTAAGTCCAGAGAATCTCAGCAGTGGGTGAGCAGTGACACCACACTGAGCTGGTTTTGCCCTCTTGGCCATTTGCTCCAAGAGAAGAGATATCTTGGATAATGTGGTGGGTTTTCCTCTGGGGTTTGCATGGCAGGGTTGTTGTTCTGTACCTCAGGGATGGTGCTCTGCAGTATTTCTGCAGTCCAGGCTCTAATTGCTGCTTCCCTAAGCTGTCTGCCTGTCTGTTTTGGCCAGGTTTGGCACCAAGGATTTCTGTGATGCCCAGTGTGACTTTCTCCACAAGGTGCATTTCCACTGTGTGGTGGAGGAATGTGGGGCCCTCTTCAGCACCCTGGATGGAGCCATCAAGCACGCCAAGTAAGCAGGAGGGCAGGAGGCAGAGGAGGCTCTGCAGTCATTCTGGGCTTCTCTAATTTCAGCATGGGTTGGCACCTGTCTCCACCCATCTTAATGACTTCCCTTTTCTTCAGAGATGGTTTAGGAGGGCCCTAAATCTTACCTCAAAGTCTCCAGAGCCCCTTTTAGGGTTTATCCACACCAATTTGTTTATAGGCTCCTGCCACATTCTTGTTGATCAAATTACATGAAATGGTCAAGAATTTATGTCTGAATCAGGATCATGTTTTGCAGTTTTCACTTCCGAACTGAAGGTGGAACTGTGAAAAGCAACTCTGAGTCTCCCTTCTCAACTGCTCCTGAGAGTAAAGCTTCACTGGCCCCTTCATCACCATCTGCTGCTTCTGCCACCATGGCCAGTGCTCCTGCCCTCGACGTGCCCACTCCAAATCCAGCTGCTATGCCCTCTGCTCCCACACTACTTGCTTGGAAGCAGCTGGCTTCAACCATACCCCAGATGCCTCAGATCCCAGCATCAGTGCCTAACCTGGCAGCTTCACCCTTGGCAACGACTTCCCTGGAGAATGCCAAGCCTCAGGTCAAACCTGGATTTCTCCAGTTCCAGGAGAAGTAAGTTTGCCTCCTTCTATCCTCCCCAGCCTTGCAGTCCCCTCTGTACCTCCCCTCAGAGCTGCAATACTCCACTTCTGTTCACCCACTGAGGAGCCTGTCTAGAAAGTACTCAGGGCTTGACCTCACAGAAAACTTATTTCTGTAAAGTGTTGGAAATACTACAAGATTTTTGAGTGCATCTGAGAGCACTTTTAGGCATGAGTTTAGAAGATAAATAAGCTTGGTGATCTCTCAGTGATCCCGTGTGAGAGCTGTGCAGAAATGCAGGTATCTTTGCAGTATGTTTGACAGTGAAGGTTCTTGGGCCAGCAATTCGTGGACTGAGGGTGGGGCAGAAGGTACCAGACCCATTTAGCTGATGAGAGGGGCAGTGCTGGTTCTGTCAGATCAGGGGAAGCCCTGGCATCCTGCAGTGGCCACACCCAAGAGTTGTGTTCCCTTTGAACTTTCAGTTGGAAAAGTGGCCCTCAAAGACTACAGAAGCCACGGTGCATTGCTGTGTTCTGATAACCCAGTTGAAGGAAGTGCAGTAGCTGGGTGGAATTGCAGTAATATTGCCAGCTTCAATCTCCCTGAAGAGGAAGGTGGCTATGGGAAATCTGTGGGCCATGTTTGGAACAGAGGCTTCAGCTGGGCTCCCCTTGAATTAAATCTTGGCAAAGAAACAAATGTGTGAAATGAGTGAAGGTGATGATTGGGTTTTGGATGTATTCCAGTGATCCCTGCTTGGCAACAGACTGCAAGTACGCCAACAAATTCCACTTCCACTGTCTCTTTGGGAACTGCAAGTATGTGTGCAAAACCTCTGGCAAAGCAGAATCCCACTGCCTGGACCACATCAACCCCAACAATAACCTGGTGAATGTGCGAGACCAGTTTGCTTACTACTCCCTGCAGTGTCTCTGTCCAAACCAGGTAAGAGCCACTCCAGAGCAGTGTTCTGGCAGCACTGGGGACAAGGAGATGAAGGGTCAGGGAGACTGACTCCCCAGCAGGAAGTGAGGCTGTGTGTGGCTTTCTTGGCATTACTACAGAACCATGGAAGTCATAATTATGTGGTTTGGAAAAACATTTGGTTTCTATCAAATGGGAAATCATGATGCTTTTGTGTTTCTTTGACTCGGGCGAAGTGGACAAGGGAATGAGAATAATCTGAGAAAGATGAAATGGAATAAAAATCTGTGATGAATTTGTGATGAATCCAGGGAAAGCCATGAGCAAGGTTTTGGACATTTCAATGTAGAATAGTGTATTACAGAGTACACGACAGCGATGTGAAAATACTCGAGAGGGAACGAGGTGCCTGGCAGGTTGTGGAAGATAAAATGAGGTCTTGAGTGTCAGTGCAGGCCCCTCTGACACCTCAGAAGGAACAGCAGTGGTAGCAGGCAGCTGAGAGTGCACTGGTGTCAGACCTGCCTGAAGCTCTGTGCCTTGTGTCCCCCCAGCACTGTGAATTCCGGATGCGAGGCCATTACCACTGCCTGCGTCCTGGCTGCTACTTCGTCACCAACATCACCACCAAGCTGCCCTGGCACGTGAAAAAACATGAGAAGGCAGAGAGGAGGGCAGCCAATGGCTTCAAGTACTTCACCAAGCGGGAAGAGTGTGGCAGACTAGGTGAGTCCTGTCCTGTTTCTCATGTGGTGTGTCCCGTGTCCAGGCCGAGAATGCCATAAGTTAGAGCCTGCAACTTATGCTTAAGAGGTATTTGGTCATTAAATCACTAAACAAGAAAGGCAACAAAACATAAAGCAGCTCCTGGTCTGTCCAGTTGAAGCATGTTTTCACAAATAGACCCAAGGTAAATGAATAGAAACTGTACTATAAAGAATTGTGTGTATGAATTTGTCTGGACATACAGCTTCCTCTTTTTTCTTCTTTTTATCTGTTTGTCAAAGCCTGTTTTTTGTCTGTGTGTTTGTTTGTTTTTATACTTTGTAGTCTTTTGGACCTACTGCTTGTGTTGGGTGAAATTTAAGGACGCTCTTAGGAAATTTTTTTTTCTCAACCAGTGCTAGTGCAGCATATTGAAAGTCAAATGGCACATAACCAGAGAGATGGACAGGAACATGTAATAAGCTACTCTCCTCTCTCCAAACCCACTCTCCACAGCCCCTGTGAGCAGCAGGGAATACAGAGCCCCTCCCAGAGCAGGGCCTGAATGTGGCACAGGCTCAGACTGGGGCTGGCCCACTTGCCAGAACTATCAGCAGCACTGCAGCAGTTATTAAAACCAAATGCCTCCAGTGTAAAGCTGGTAAAACAAATGCACAACAACAGAAAATAGAATGGATTCCTCTGGGGGTACCTGGAGCTGAAATCCAAGACTCTGAATGGGAATTCCTAAAGACAACTCTATCTTGAACTGCCTGGGATTCACTTAAACCTTCTCATTGTGGCTTGGCAGCATCACAGACCCAATCTTCCCTGTCACTCCTGGTTAGAACAAATGCTGGAACCAGAGAAGGTTCAGAATTACCCTTCTGGGTGCTCTTCCTTCCCACTGCAGGAAAACAGCCACAGTAGCCAGAGCAAAACTTTTCAGCTTTGAATGCATCAAGAATTTGTACCCAAATGGAAGTTTGTTTGTGGTAACCAGGGCAATGAGTGTCAACACACCACGGGCAGTACCTACCTGGGTCCTATTTACACATGGCAGTAGCTGTTATTTACTCTCCTTTTGGTGTTTCAGGTGATAGCAGGGGCTAGACAAAGCAGGACAGTGATATGTGACACCAGCCCACTGGGATGCCCTGGCAACAGGCGAGCCCTCACCTGCCCTTTGTGACAATGTTCCAGTCCTGCAGCACTGTTTGTTCCCTGTCCCAGAGCACAGGGCTGGGGAGGGAAAGTGGGACCTGAACAAACACTCTTGGCCCACACATGAAACACTGTCTGTCAGCTCCACATGGGCTGGGTGAGTCAGGAGCTGTTTGGCAGCCAGGCAGCTGCAGCCTTTGCAAGTGTCAGCAGTGTTTGGTTTGGGAGGATGGGGTACATGCATCCAGCAGCATGTACACTTGCTGTAGGCTGCCCTAAATGACACACATTTAACCAGCACCTTGCTTTTGCCTGCACAGATACAGGCAGCATGGTGGAATGGTGTAGGTGTGTATGTTTTACCAACATGTGCATTCCTTTCTACATCTGTGTACATCCCTGGGGTTTATGTTGTGTATTTATAGATAGCAAGTGCAGAAAGCATTGGCCTGTTTTGTGTTTCTGAACAAACACACATGATAGATTTTTTCAATGTATGTTTCTGTGTGTATAATATGTAAGTGTGTGTGACTGGGGAGAGAGGGGTGAAACACACATGAGTAAAGGTGGGTGGATGGAGATAGATAAGTCAAAGTGAGCCTGTCTGTAGATCTCTGGCTCTGTGTACCTGAGGGTATGGCCAAGCAGGATGGGGAGCAGCAGATCCTGATCACTGAAGTAGCTGTGTCTGGACTGTGACAAGCCTGTGTTTATCAGCTCTGCAGTGTGGCTCTGGGGCTGTTACTGGTATGTGCATGCCTGGCACACGTGGCTGGGGCCACGAGGAGCAGAACGTGTGAAGTGCCAGGACCATGTGAACTGCTTGTTGTTCAGTAGCTGCCCCTATTACACAACAGTTTTGGAGTGGCAATAAACACTTCTGGCTTATTCCTGTCTGACCAGAGCTCACACACTGTCCAGAGCTGGCATGAGACTGCTTTTCTGAGAGCACAGTTAGAGGGAGGAAAAAAAGAAAAATAACTTTTCATTTCTAATCTAATGATGAGCATGTATTTTGATTGTAGCTTCTATGATAGAGCTAAATATCCTGGCTTTGGTCTTGTAAAAGAAAAGGCATTAGCTAAAACTGAAGAGCATTAGGCACTACTAGATGTAATGGCAATGTTCCTGCCTTTATAATGGCACAAAAAGGGATGGGACTAGGCTCAGGCTCATGTCTCAGATTTCTGTACACAGTAATCCTCTCTTGCAGTTGCTCAGCAGGCTGTAGATTGTGGGTTTGGGTTTTTTCATTCAAGACTGTTCCTGAATAACCCATGACCACTGATAATGTTCAGTCCATCAGAAATCCACGTGGACAGCAGCCTTGTCCTGTCCAATCATCTCCCCTCTCAGTACCTTCATGTGCAACATAAAATGGTTTTTGTGTCTGCAGGTTGCAAATACAACCAGGTGAACAGCCACTTCCACTGCATCCGAGAGGGCTGCCAGTTCTCCTTCCTGCTCAAGCACCAAATGACATCCCATGCCAGGAAGCACATGAGAAGGATGCTGGGGAAGAACTTTGATCGTGTTCCTACTCAGGTAGCTCCTTGTTGTGGAAGCTGTAGATCCACAGGCAGTGTGGGCCCCTTTGGCTGCAGAGCCAAGACTTGTACCCAGAGTCCAGGGGAGCTTTACCTGGCTGAACTTACACAAGATGAGTAAAGATGATGAAGCATAAATTGCAAAGCATTGCTTAGTGCAAACAGCTTTTCCTTGTAATTTTGTAGAAAAAAATTGAGAAGGATAACACTAAAATACTCATATTTATAACTTGCAGTCTCTGCCAGCTCTTTGAATATATACAGTTGGCTTATTAAAATTAATGTGCTTAGGATGTGGAAGAATTGAACGTGCTGGTTAAAGCAAATATTTCCTGTTGCATATAAAGAATAATTTGCTCCTTTCACCTAGGATGGGAGAAATACCAATCTTGACATTTCTCTTCCCTTATTGATGTGGATTTAGTTGGGGCATTCCCTGTCCTCTGTTAGGAAGTAGCAGAGTGATGCAATTGCTGCTTCAGTAACACAGAGAGCAACTGGCAGATTAGGTCTGTTTGTTTCCTGAAGAAATGGAAGAGTTTCAGCTGCAGCACTAAGCTGCTGCTCCAAAGGACAGCACCCCTGCCACCTCTCACTTGTTCTTATTCTTTAGATGTTTTAGCTGCCATTGGCTTGGGAGATGAAACAAGCTGTCTTTATTTAAATGCCTGTGGCTGATCTGACCCTAAGAACATCATCTGGTATATGGAAAACAAAAGAGACCATCTGTAGAAGCAAGATGAGAACCCTCTTTTATTCCACAACATGGGAATGAGAGGTCCCTGTTAGTTATTAAGAACTGTCAATAAGTGAACTGTTCAACTCTAGTGCTGCTGGATTTAATGAGTTCACAGATGCTAAGGAACTGGTGTTGCTGTTGTGGCAGCTTTTGGTCTCTAATAAAAAGTTTAGGTCCAAGAATCAGACTTAGGAAGAATTTAATGAATAAATTCATCTTCACTGCTCTTCTAGCATATGCTGAGTCTAACCCTAAGAATTCTAGTGCACACAGGACAGAAGAATCTGTATTTAACCTCCATCTTCTTTCACTGGCAATCCTGTGCCACTTAGCAATGACAAATAGGAGCAGTGGTCTGAGCAGCCCTGGGAGCACACAGCACTTGTCCTGATCTGCTGCTGTGTTCAGCCCATGGAGCAGTGCAGCAAACTGAGGGTGAAACCACAGCTCACAGCATGTGGCAAAGCTGAGCAGATTGCTGGTCTGCCTTTTGAATTGAAATGAAAGCCTCAGTTTCTCCCATGCCCTAGTGCTCTGTGGGCAGTTCATGGCGTGTTTGACCTACCCATGGAGCTGTCCAGGCCACTGCAGCTGCAGGTGACCCCCACGTGTGGCCCTGGTGTCAGTCGGTGCTCCCTGCTGCAGGGCTCAGCACTGACACACTCAGGCTTGGTTCCAGCATCTGACTGCAGCAGGACCCACACAGTGAGGGGGCAATGCCAACATTAACACCTCCTCTTTGTGAACCATCAGAATCCACACACCAGGATGCTGGTGCCAAGATTAACACTCCCAGCTCCCCAGTGCAGCACAATTCACATACCAGGATGCATGTGCCAGGTTTAATGCTCTGAGCTCCTAGTGCAGGAGGATTCATGCTGCTGGCCCCAGTTCATGGGTTCCACTCACAAGCACGTGCCAGCTATCCCTCATGAGCTGTGGCAGAGGGAGATAAATGTGCAGACAGATGGGTTTGGTCCTGGTGTCTTGCTTCTGGTGTAAAAGTCCCTGTCTTGTTTTCCTGCTGCAGGTTATTGGCCACACTCCAAGAAATGAAAATCTCCCCCAGGTTGGCAGCATGGCACCCAGCCCAGCCTCATCAGGAACCCCAGCTTCCTTTCAGGGACCCCCAAGCATGATGGACACTGAAACAGAAGAGTACATGGATTACACTGGCTGCAGCCCTGGGGGCATCTCCTCTGAATCTTCCAACATGGACCGCAGCTGCTCCAGCACTCCAGTGGGCAATGAAAGTACCTCGGCAGGTAAGGGAGAAGGGCGTGTGGGGATGGATCAGCAGCTGCCTGCTCTCCTGGGAGATAAACTCAGAAACAGAGGCCAAGGGTCACTTGTGCCTTAGAATGCACACTGTGCCAACTTGAGTAGTGCCTCACACTAACCCAGCTCTCTCCAGCACCTGAGAGAAGAGGTCCATCAAAATATAAACCTCGAGCATCCAGGAACTAGCAGCATACCTTTCTCCTCCCTTGAAGAGAGGTTTTTATCCTGGGTCTTGCAGTTGGGTCTATTTTAATAGCTGATTTAAAAAAGAAAAAAAAAAATGAGCTGTGGGCCCCTTCTATACTTGGCATTTCCTCTGGTACCTCTTTGAGTTTCCTCAAGCAGCATCTGAAGTCAGGCACTTTGCTGTACTGGTGAAGTAAACAGCAGATCTGACATACACAGGAGATAAAACCTATCACATCTGCAGAAAGCAAAACCTAAAAGTAGCTGAGTTCCCTTCCTCACCCAAAAACTCTTGTTCCACTTCGTGCAGTTGCACAGAGCAGACCCTTCATCCCCACTTTTGGGAAATAAGTTCCTGCCCTGTTTGCCAGGATCATGCAGAGCCATTTCCCCCTGCCCTGCATTACAGGGTCAGCTAGTCAGGAGTCAGATACCTGGTAGGAATTCTGCCATCATGGATTGATGACCAGAGATCTCTCAGCTGTCCTTCCCAGGGTTAGGTGGGGTATTCTGCATGGGCTGCCTCAGTTTGCTTTAATTCCATACACATTTTCCTTGTTTTCTTTCCCAGCCCACATAAAGGCCAGCACAGCACCGTCATGTTGTGGGAGCACTGCTGGGTCATGGCCCCACGATATTATGGCACCTCCAGGGGGTTCTGCTGGGGCAGTGGTTCCTGGCACTCTTCTGTGCCAGAACTGACCCAAGTGCTAGGAAATGCCCCCCACGCTCTCCAGGCAGGGAGCAGCTCCAGCTGCCCCAAGTGCTGGAGCATCCTCTCAGCTGTTAACTGAAGCAGCAACCCTATAGATGAGCAAGGACCAGAATGACCAAATGAATCCAGAATTCCTGTCTGAAAGCCCGTGTCTCCTCCCCCATACCATAGGCCACCTTACCTCCTGCAGAGACAACTCTCCTCTTCCTGGTGCTGTCAGTTCCTCACCTTCTGTTTCTTCTCTGTTGCAGTTCTGTTCCATACATTTGTGAATGTATTTTCCATTTTCATCATATTGCTTCTGCTCTTGGGTTCTCATTTCAGTTCTTTTGTTTCTTGTTTTGTTGGTTTTTTTGGTTCGGTTTTGTTTTATTGTTTTTTCTTTTCTTTGTTTTTTTTTTTTTCCCTTTTTTTTTCTGCCTTTTTTTCTCTCCACATTCTCCAGGCTGCCTGGTTCCTTCTACTGCTCCTGCTGCTGCCGATGATGCAACCCACACTGCACCACAACCTCCACCACCATCTCTGCCTCCATCTTTCTCACAAGCCCTGCTTAGGTCTCCCCTTCCCACCCTGCCCTATCTCTTCTCTCCATCTTGTCTCTCGTACTCCCTGCTCAGTGCCACCCTGGGAGCCAGCAGAGGCATTGTCATGCCTGCCGCCAGCACCGCTGGGTTCTCGCCCATCATTGCCACTCCAACTCCAGTAAAAAGTGACGTTCCCTTAGTGCAGGATGCAGCAGGTAACACTTCTTTGCTTTCTCTCCGTGTCCTGTGCCCAGCTCTGTCCCCACTCACCCTGCCCACGTTTTTTCTCTGCACCTTTGGGTCGGTAGAGCAGCCGAGGTCACTCTGTGCCTGAGCAAATGTTTTCCAAGGGCCCAGCCATGCCTGCTCCTTTTCCTTGCTGACACAGTAACCACAGCCGAGGGGAAACAAACCACAGCAAATCATTCACAGACATTGGGATGGATAACTGAGAGTAATTGCCACCAATTCCTAACTATGAGAAAAACCTAACAAAATCCACACTTAACATGCATTTTCAGTGTCTTGGTAACCTCAAAGTGGCCACAGAGCAAATGTTTGCTCATGTGGCATTAATGGGACTTGGACTTCTTGGTTAGATCTTCCAGGCCACCCAAGGCAGTGCCTGCCATAGTTTGCTGCACAGATCTCAGCAGGTGAATGTCTGATGAGGTACCCAGGTCCTGTGTTTCAATTGATCTTGCAAACTTCATATGAAGCCACAAAGTTCAGGGGTGCCTTCCCAGGATGAGGAGTACAGGCAGTGTCATGTGGTGACATCATCAGACAGGTCAAGCTGTTTCTCACACTCATTATTTATATCTGCTCTAATCAGCTGCAGAAAATACAGATAGATTTTCATTTTAAACTGCCGTGATTCCCATGTGTGACTAAGATCAGAGATGTCTCAGGCTGGGTATTCTCATTCCATCTGGGAATGGCTTTAGGGTGTGTCTCATTTTTGGTTTCTTTTCCCAACTCTTAGCTCTTTTCTAGTTAATTAAGGACATCTTTGTGCTTAAAGTTCACACTTATGAGGCTTCTGGCAGCCTACAAATGTCCCAGTCATTCTTCCTGCCAGTTTTAGTAATATGTAAATCCAAGGTCAGTGGTTGGGAGTTCGATTGGAAGACCAGCTTCACAGGTTTCCAACTCCAGTTCATAGATTTTTCTCAAGAGACTTGGCAGGAGAAGGATCCTTGCCTTGTCCAGAGCAGTGTGTGCCAATTAACAAAAATGACAAGAAACTCTCTCTTTGCTTCTTTTTTAACTGAATTGCATGCAGCATGAAACATTTTAACCTTGTGCTGTGCTCTAATCAAATATTTTTAAGTGTCTTTTGTTTTTACCTTGGTATGGTTTGGTGAATGCTGACATTATTAGTGGTTAAAGAAAGAAGCTTATGGAAAACACCATTGAGATTTGGTGGGGACCACATCCCCTGAGGCTTGTAACCTTCCACGGGGTGCAGGGACTGAACATTGGCAAAAGAGGAGACTGCACCAAGGTGTCATCTCTCTTCCTTATGCCCTTACTCCAAAACTTTGCCTCTATGAGAAAACAGAACTGGTTTTCAACTAAAGTTTTAAGCACATCTGTTTGAACTATTTCAAAAGCTGTCTAGATACAGAGTTTTGAAGTAAAATTTAAATTCTACTTACTTCCCATCCAGTCTTTTCTCTAAGATGAGTTATCCCTTATTCCTGTCCCAAGACAGACAATATGAGCATTAATTAATTAATGCTAAGGAACTTGATGGTTTGGCTGTAATTTTATTAAAAGGAGTTAATGTGGACAACAGCAGCTTGTCCAGGCACCACTGCACTTACACGTGTTGGCTGGGAGTGGAGAACTGGATTTTACAATACCAGATGTTTAGCAGGGAGCAGAGAGTAAATTGGTCACAGATTCTGTAGTTAAGAGCCTGCCAATTTCAAGTCTCCAGTGGCAGAAAGTTATTCTTTCCCTGGTAGCTGGTTAAATCAGCCCTAGCATGCAGTTTCCATCGTTCTCACTCCCTTGGTCTCACCATGGATGACCTAAGCTGCTGTCCTGAGCTCAGAGCCATTAACAAATGGTGTAGAAAAACCTTTTGTTCTTTGCTCATATCCCACAAACTGTAGAGCCCAGCCACGTGGGAGAGGAGGTTCCTGCCACCACTGCCATTGGCTTGTGGGGGGGTTTCCTTCAGTGGTCACCACCTTCTCCCAAAGGGTCATCACCTCTAGTAGCTGTGCACTGCCAGAAAGGAAATGATTTACACCAGACTGTCCCTTCAGTGCCCCAGACAAGGATGCAAACTGCTCTGGGTTCTGGAGCCCTATGCACCGTGTGTCACAAATTGTGCCTCTTTTAAGAAGATGGCAGTTTCAGTAGGGAGAGAGTAAAAAAAAAAAGTGTATGTTAGTTGCAAGCTATAATTTCTAATTACGCTCACAGTTCTGCACCTGGTGAGAAATTCTTGCCTCCAACCTTGTCTGTGCTGCATGTTGATACTGGAGATTGTGGGTTGATTCTGGGAGCAGCAAGCAGAGAAGAAAAAAAGTTAATAGATACATTGAGGTCGAGTCCTTGATGTTAGTGGGATCCTAGGGGACATGAGCAGTAGCCAGTTATGTTGGCCCTGTGAATCAAAGTGGAAGATAGATGAGGGATCTTTATTTATACTGGGGGCATCGTGGAATTTTTGAGACCCAAGGGAATGCTGCAGAACTGGTATTTTCTCTCAGAGTCCACTGGCTAGTGATGATGAGAATTAGCCCCATTGAACATCTGTCCATCTGTCTTTCTAAGTGCACTCATTGTAATATGTAGGCTCATTACAGTGAGGGATGTTGCAGTCTCCTGGCCAAAGTCCATCCTGTTTCTATAAATTCCACCCCCCCGTTGCAATTTTAATCACGCATGGGATCTTCCTTCACTTCCTGCCTGTCCTTGGCAATTGTAGTGCATTACAAGAGCCTGGGTAGGGGAAAACAGTGCACACCTACAAGCTTTTAGCACAGTGCAACTCTTTTTGCCACCCCAGTGAACTACAGTAACACACCTCAGCCCTTGGACTGGAACAAGCCAGCTCCTCCCTATTAAACTCTGATTTAAAGGAAAACGGGACTAGAGATTAGTTACGCAGCAAGAGAAACTGTGAAAGTAGCAAACCAGAGAAGCACCAGTTGACATTTGTACCAGATCAGGTTTGCCAGAGCAGAGACAAGGCGGGATGTGCAGGAAACTGAGGCAGTGATGTCCTGCAGGCAGCCCCAGTCCTGGAGCTGAGGCTCACTCAGAGCTCAGGGACGAGCGGCAGGGTGGGAGCAGTCGCACTTTTGTGTCTTGGCAAACCCGGAGCTTGCCAGGCCGGCCGGGAGCTGGAGAGAGCTGGCTGTCAGCAACACCGCTCTGCGCTTTCTCTCCTCAGGGAACACCATCACTATGCCAACAGCCTCGGGGGCCAAGAAGCGTTTCTGGATTATTGAGGACATGTCCCCATTTGGCAAGCGCCGCAAGACCGCGTCCTCACGCAAGATGCTGGATGAAGGGATGATGCTGGAGGGATTTCGGCGCTACGACCTCTACGAGGACTGCAAGGACTCCAGCTGCCAGTTCTCTCTCAAGGTTACCCACTACCACTGCACACGGGAGAACTGCGGCTACAAGTTCTGCGGCCGTACCCACATGTACAAGCACGCCCAGCACCACGACCGTGTTGACAACCTAGTGTTGGATGACTTCAAACGCTTCAAGTCTTCACTGAGTTGTAACTTCCCAGACTGTCAGTTCTCTGGCAATAGCACACACTTCCACTGTCTGCGCTGCGGCTTCCGCTGCACCGACAGCACCAAGGTGACGGCGCACCGCAAGCACCACGGCAAGCAGGACGTGATCAGCGCCGCCGGCTTCTGCCAGTTCAGCTCCAGCGTGGACTGCGAGGTGCCCGACTGCAAGTACAAACTCAAATGCTCCCACTTCCACTGCACCTACCCTGGCTGCAAGCACACAGTGGTGGGGATGTCACAGATGGACTCTCACAAGCGCAAGCACGAGAAGCAGGAGCGGGGGGAGCTGCCTGCCATCTCCCCCGGCCCCGAGGGCCTTGCCCACTCCACTCTTGAGTATGACATCCAGAACTCTTCCATCAGCCTGGACAGTTCCCTCAACCTCAGCACTGACAACAACAGCTCCCTGTTCTTCCTGCAGAACGCGGCCGGCGTGGGGCTCGGGGACTCGCTGGACCTGAGCAAGAAGGCGGCGGAAGGCAGCGAGGGCCCGGCCCCGAGCAGAGCCGGGGCTGCCCCGCAGGACGGGAGCGCGGCGGCGCCCGCAGCCGCTGCCGGGGAGGACGAGGACGACTCCTCCCAGGAGGATGAAGAGGACGATGAGGAGGAGATGAATGAAGAAGAGGACGATGATGAAGAGGAGGATGACGATGATGATGATGAGGAGGATGAGGAGGAGGAAGACCTGAACACAGATTCTGAAGAATCGCTGCCGGACCCTGAAGGCCTGGCCGCTAAAGAAGATGGAGAACCAGACGAGGGTGCTTCTTCCACAGAGCGTGGCGATGCTTCCCGGCCACAGGGCGAGCCAGCCCTCACTCCAGCCCCAGCCCCAGCCCCTGCCCCTGCCCCAGCCCCTGCTCCAGCTGCTGCCTCAGCCTCCACTGCTGCTCCAGCAGCTTCTCCTTAATCCCAGAGACAGCAACGGCAGTGGTTTGGTTTTTCTCCTACACAGAATTACTGAGAGGACCCCGTACGAGGCAAGAACAAAGATGGGGATGGCAAATGAAAAACGAACTCCGTGCCACAAACGAGAGAGAGGAAGGAAGGAAACCCCTGCTCCTCCCCAGGCCCCAGAAGAGATCAGCTGGCAGCAGGACTGGTGCTGCATCACTCCATCCTACAGATCCCGGAACCGGGGGCAGGATGCAGCGAGAAATGCCCTTTCTATGGACATGAACCCTGAGGGCACCCGCTGCTTTTCCTTGCTCCCTGCACGGTGCGTGGGGCCTGTGCCCATCTGGGGACCCTTTTTTATGGGCGGGGCTCTATCCCCCCAGTTTTCTTTCTGGGTTTTATTTTTCCATGTTTTCAGTTGTACGATAATAATAATAATCTCCACTTCTTGGAGGGGGGTGGGTGGGAACAAGAGGTAATGAATTTTAGAAATATATATTTGTGTGTGTGTCTCTCTATATATAATGTACACACACACACACATATATAAAATTAAAGGAATTGGTGTCACAAAGACAAGTAGCTCAGCTTTTGCCAGTGGGAAGGAGGGGGTGAGGAGTGTGCTCTCTCTCTCCACCCTTCCCCCTTCTTTCTCCAGCATTAAATGGCATCAGACAGCCAGGGTGGGAGTGGGTATTTATTGTCACATAAATGAGGATGCATTAATGAATGAGCAGGGGTGGGAATGGGACACTCCTCTGTTCTTCCAGATCCTTTTTACTGTTAATGATAATAATTTTGAATGCTATTTATATTGTAAAATTTTCTCAGTCTACACTTTCTCTGTAGGACACCTCTCCTCATCCCTGCTGTTCTGACTGTAGGGATTTAGCTGAAGTAACCTGGGAAGAACAGTTAGTTCTAGCAGGCAGTTTAAAGGGTCTGTCACACTGGAGGACTGGGGTTACTCTGCCATCCAGTTCCATCTCATCCCAACCCCTCGGTGCTTCCTCTCTGTGGAGGGTGAGGCGTTTTTGTGGTGCTTCAGTATCCCCATCTCAGGAGCTGTGAGCTGCCCCAGGTGCAGCACAGGGAGCACCCAGCTCTCACAGGAGCGTCCTGGTCACTAAAGCAGCCTTGAGAAAGGGCCCAGCTCTGCCCCGGGCAGTCGGACCGGGACAGGTCCAGGTGGCAGCGCTGGTCCCCAGCCCTGTGCTGCAGACACGGCGCTGTGTGACGGGCACGGATCTCAGGTGACTCTGGCAGGGCACGCTCTGAGCCCCCTGGCGTGTCCTGCCCGGCTCTGGGTGGGGAGGGGACAGCCCTGTTCTGCAGCAGGACCGGCTGCCCAGCCCTGGGCTTTGACCCTGCTGCACCCCCAGCCCAGAGCTGGGGAGGTGCCAGCTCGGAGCTGCTGCAGCTCTGGCCCGTCCTGGCAGGGCTGAGGGCTCGGGCACTGCACTGTGCCGGCTCCTGCCACCTGCAGCAGCCTGGGCTCTCCCTGCTCCCAAACTCTTCCCTGCTGTCTCTTCCCGGCCTGGCTGGGAGCACACACTACAGGCACTGGCCCGGACCCCGCGGGGGCCACAGTCCGACCCCAAATCCTTGCCTGAGCCTGCAAGGGCTTCTCTACACACACCAGGGCACCAGAAGGACTAGTATGAATTAATTCTGAGAGTTATTTTGGTGCCAGTTTTAAAGTATACCAGATTAATCTGAGCTTTGTCCTTTTAAAAAAAAAAAAAATTCTTTTTTTTTAATACCATGCAGACACCCTCTCCCCTCCTCAGCTCCATGAGCACTTCAGCTGTAAGGGATCCCCAGGATTTATTTTCACCCTGAACAGATAAAGGCCTCACGAAGTTTGGGTAGCTTTTTTTTTTTTTTTTTTTTGTTATTTCCCTAAGGAACTGGTGCAGATCAGGTCTGATTTATAAACAAGCAGCTCAGCTGTGTAAATGTGGGGACAGAATGTTCAGCTAATGTTTCAAAAGGAAAGGAAAAAAAAAAGTTGTACAGTATTTTTCCTGTAAAGGTTATTACTATATATAGAACAAAAGAGAAACCACCAATGCCAAGGGGTGGAGGGGGAGGTGTCACCTGCCTTCTGGATAGCCCTTACATATGGTTAATTGTGTGCAATTTTTTTTCTCCTTTTTTTTTTTTTTTTTTTTTTTTTCCCTTTTTTTTTTCTCTCTTTCAATGTAGTGTATGTTTGTAGGGGTGGCAGGGGAGGGGGGCCTTAATGCCGTGGTTTGAGGCTGACTTCACACTCCCAGCACTGACCAGACCTGCACGATTCCGAACTCTAACTTGAATTTTGTAGAGATGAAACAAATGAAAACAAATGAAATATTATCACTAGTTTGTAGTTTATTTAATTCTTTGGAGTTCTTTTACTCTATCAGCTATTTGTGTGGCTTTTATTTTTATAGGGGGTTTTTTTGTTGTTTGTTTGTTTTTGTTTTGTTTGGTATATCCCCTGCCCTCAGCTGTGTGTTTCCTAGCACAACCCCATTCTTGAATAGAATGAAGCTCACGTTCCTGGGGCAGAGTGATGGAATGATGCCCTGGAATTTCTCAAAATGGGATGGGGCAAAAAAGATTTTACTTTACTAGCATTTGCTGCAGGTTCTGTACTTGTACATTTTTCCCTGTGTTCAGCTACTTAGATAGTATGGTGATGGGCTCCAGGAGGAATCCTTAGGTTAACACAAGCCACATCTTGCAAAGCAGATGTGATTATTTTGTACAGCCAAAATCAAGAGGATCTCTGTCAGTGAGTGTGGGAGCAGGACCGAGCCCTGCTGGGGGCAGGTCCTGCCCGGGCACACGGAGCTGGAGCCAGGGGCCACCAGAGGCTCCCTTGGCCACCGTGGCTGTTGGAGCTCTCCCCTGGCACACGGCAGCAGAGGGCAGGGATGGAGCAGGGGGGAAGGCAGGGCTGTGTGCAGCAAGGGCTGAGAGGTGGCCGTGGCTCTGCAGTCCGGACACGACAGCCCGTGCCAGGGGCAGCTGCTGGCCCGTCCCTGCTCCCGTGTGCCAGAAGGGCCCGTGTTTATCTATGCACACCATTTTCTCCCCCCAGGCACCCAACTTCTCCCCAGCATCTCAGCCCTTCTCCCCAACTTCTGTCACCTCTTCTCTAGGAGCTGGCACAGGGAATGAGAGTTCTTTCCCACCGGGCTAGAGGTGACCCCTGAGCAGGGCCAGGGGCCCTGGCAGGACAGTGGCCACCGGCCAGCCTGGCCCCGTCCTTCTCCCACTCCTGTTCCTGTAACTCTTACACTGTCTCTGTTTGCAACAACAACAAAAGAAAGTGGAACCCGACTTTTTATTCTGCCATGTTCAGGCTTTAATTCAGCAAAACCCTTAAGCAGATGACTCTGAGTGGGCCCAGGTTTAAGCCCGAGCTTAAGTGCTTTTCTGAACAAGGGCCTCGACAGCACAAGGACCCCATCAGAGCAGGTGGTTTTGTCACTGCAAGCTCTCATAGCAATGGGACTGCCCAAAGAATGACCAGAGAAAGAGAGGGAGATTCAACTGGCTCTGTAAGGAGGGGAAGGAGGAGAGAGGAAATGGAACTGTTTTGTCCAAAACAAGATAAAAACCAAACAATAATAAACCATGAGATGGACCCTCCTGATTCTGCTACCATTCACTGCTGAAGAGCAAAAAAATTAAGTGAAAACTATTGACTAGATTGTTCATTCTAGCCACAAACTCAACTGGATTAAAGTCTGCGTGGAAGGAATTTTGTAAAGAAAAATAAATTTCAAAAAAATTTTCCAATGTAGCAAAAAAAAAAAAAACAACTTTAAAAAAACAAAAATAAAAAAAAAAAGACAATGAGGGAGGATTCTAGCCTTTTGTAATATCCATATTGCACACTAGGACTATAAGCCATTGCTAGCTCATTTTGAATTTTAAATGTGTAATTTTATTTTGTTTTGTTGTTGTTTTTTTTTTCTTTCCATGGGGGAGGGGGGGAAATAAATGCTTGAACCACCAATGCTCTTTTTAATGTTTTATAAATATGTATGTGTATATATATAAATATAAAAATAATATGTATGCACATATATATGTGTGTGTGTATATATCTATATGTATATACATATATATAGATATATAGATATATATATAGGTTTTGAGACAAAAATGCAGAAAGTGAAAAAAAACACCCTAAACAGGATGGTGTGCTCTGATTTACTTGAATCTGGTCTCTTCAGCACCTGCGTTATTAAGAACTGAATATTTTTCCACTTGAATTTAGTGCTATTAGAAATTTAATATATGTGTTTTATTTATTTGATTTTTTTTTGCATGACTGATGCAAGGTTTGACATTTTCACTCAATAAAAACTGGAAAAAAAACCCCAAAGTTTTAAGTGATCAAGTTGTCTTCTTGCCTGAGGAGGTGTTTGTGTTTGTAGGACTTTGGGGCAGGTGGGATGCTTTGGACAGGCTCTGCTGCAGCTCCATTCTCCAGGGAGGTGGAGGGAAGGGAATTCTCTCTGCATGGTGTTAAGGTTTCCCAGCAGCCCTGAGGTTTTATCTGAGTTGCCATCAGGGCCCTTCACAGACATGATGAGAGCATGAGCTCATGCTCACAGCTCCACGGCTTGCAAAGGGACATGGAATGGGTCTCTGTGCCTCTCTGCCTTCACCAGAGAACCCAGGAGCAGCCAAGCAGCGCCTGCCAAGCCTGGTGCATTGGCAGCAGCTGCTCCTTATTAGCAGAGAGGATTACACTCCTCTCTCTTTCAAAGCCCCCTGGCTGCTCTGCTGCAGCTCCCAGCCATCCTGTTTTCAGATGTCATTATTTGAACATGCTCCTAATCCAACCGTGGAGCCCAGAGGTTTGTTCTCACTGGAGCTCTGCCCACAGCACATGGAATATTTAAATGGCCATGTTTCCAGGTGGGGACAGGGGACACGAATGACACAATTCATTGCTGGAAAGCTTTTGCTGGAACTTGCCTTTTCTCAGTGGGACTATGACTGGAACTCCATAAAAGAATGACTAAGTTGTAGGAGAAGCTGCAAGCTGGACAAATCCAAGTCTCACTATTGCATTCGTTCCAAGCCCTTCCAGGTGGAGACAGTGCAGTCCTGCACCCACAGCCCTGCAACCACTACCCCTGCACCTGGTGAGCCCTGGGAAGCAGCAGACACCAAGCAAGGTCACTTGTTCTAATGTCAAGACAAAAACTGGGCCGTTGCTGCTGCCCTTGTACTTTGATACCTCAAGTGTATCCCTGTAATAGCCTTTGAGTCCTCTGGCAGACACTGTCACATGGGAATCACTCAGGCTCCACCTTCTGGGTCTCCGCTGGAATCTTGAACAGATTCCACCAGTACCTGAAAGCTGACAAAACCTACAATTCCTACCTACAAAAAACAATTCCTACCAAATGGGTGAGGGAAAAGAAGGAAAAAAGGCACTGAGCATTTCCAGCACGGGAGGCACTGTTCTTTATGCCAGCCCTGGGGCAAGAAGTGGGCTCGCTGGAATCCCTCAAACACTTCTTCCCTCGCAAGGGTCAGGCATTGCTCAGAAGATGGGAGCACCGTCCATCCTGAAGCAGATCCCTTCATCTTCCCAGAGCAAGGCTGGGTGTCCTCGCCCCAGTCCTGCTCTTGCCCCTGAAGTGCCCCAGGCCCATCCTAGCTGAGGAAGGGTGGCCAGCAGAGGCAGCTTCCCTTCTTCCTTTTGCTCTTTTTTGGCAGGAAAACTCTTAAACAAACAAATGAAGAAACACTGAGGATTTAAGTAAACAGCTGAGGATTTATCTGACAGGCAGACAGAGCTGTTCCCTGCCCCCTTCCCTCCCTTCCCACAGGGCAGTGGCCACCAGCAGCCCCTGGCCTGAGCCCCATTGCTGCTGGCAGCCCCACAGCCCCATCTGTAATCCCAGGGCATGGCCAGGCTCTGCTCAATGCCACAGCTCTGCGATTGGCACACTGAACTGGGCACAACTGAGCCACTTGAACTGTGCCCAGAGCCCTCAGAGGGGAGCCAGGGCCTTCATCCAGTGGCCAGGAGCTACCCCTGCCATCCACATCTTGGGAAGAGCCTGCTGTGCCTGTGCCTGGAGGCACCCAATCCTTGTCCCTGCTGTGCCCAGGCCCCTCGCACAACCTCTGTCCCCAGGGCTGGCAGAGCTGCAGCCCCTCCACACAGCAAAGGGGGGACACCCACTGCCAGGGGCATCCACCACACTTCCCCCTTTTGCCACTATTTTACACAGAGCAGCAGGTTCTGCCTGCACTTTTTACAGTTGAGGGGAAAAAGGAGGCAAGAAAGAGATGCAGTCGTGAGATATTTCAATTCCAGGCTGCACCAGGCTTGTTCTGGCAAACAGAAGAGCCTGTCGAAGCAAGAGGGAGTCCCAAGCTCCATCTCACACCCAAAACCTGCCACTGCTGCCATGGAAGTGTTGATATTACTGCAAAAAAGCAGACAGGTAAGCAGGCAAACAGGCACACAGAGATGGGACCTGCTGTTGACAGTGAGGGGGGCAGAAAGCAAGGAATAATTCATCTCTGCAGGAAAGCTGCAGCATTTAGCAGCCAGTCCTCAGTGCATGCACAAAGGATGAAACTGCTTAAGTAAAGCAAATCTGCTCAAAGAGATGGAAGAATGTCCACCCCAGAATTTGCTCTGGTTTAATTAAATCAGTTAAAGAAATTAATTTTAGATAGGCATTACTCTAGCTGTGCACACACAAAACCTCAGCAGCAGCTATAGAAGCAGAGGTATGAAGTGAAGCAGTCTGTGAAGTGTTGAAAGGAAAGAGCACGGGGAGATAGACATGAGGAAGGTGAAAGGCAGACACGAGCAGGATGCTGCACAGAACAGCCTTGCCAAGCAAAGGGACTGGGACACAGGCAAGCAGCCTGGCAAAGAGACAGGCAGAGAAAGAAAAATAGGCAACAAACAAGGCAGTTGTACTCCTCAATCCTCTGAATCAGCCCTACCCAGCCAATCACCTCCTCACACAGGACACAGTCCCAAAGAAAAGTGTTTTACCTAAACCAATAAAAAATACAGTGTCACTCTCCTATTCCCCTTCAGGCTGTTCTTGCAGCCAGCATCATAAAACATCTCTCATTATTTGCACAAACATAGAAGAAACAAAATAAAACCCTGAAGGATGAATTCCTTGAGCAGATGCAGAAAAGGAGGTCTTGGTACAAAAACAGGGTGTTGTTCTAGGAGGCTCCATACTGTAAGTAATCCCTGAGCAGTCCTTGCAAAGCATTTGGGGAGATTTTTAGCCTGAAAGACACTTTACAGAAATAAATTGTAATTGAGTTTTAATAATCTTCCCCTTTTCAGAAAGGGCCTGACAGATGCTGCCTAGTGCTCACTTCTGCCCCATTTCAAATATTTTTACCTTATTTGGATGAAATATATTATTTTTCTAAAGAAAGGAGGTTGGGTTTTGTTTTTTTTTCTCTCCAAAGAGATGGTTTTCCCTTCGTCCAGCTGGTGCCTTTATTAGGTTAGTGCTTGCTCCCTTTTGGGGATGGGATTGTTTTTTTCCCTGATCTGGGACAGACCATGCCAGCCCCTCAATCTAAAAGTGTGCAGCTTGTACTGCACAGCAAGTGGAGAAGCCAGGCCCTGATTTCCATCTTCCCTCTTCCCTGATACCCCAAAATTCACCCTAAGTACATTTCCAATTTTTTTATATTCTTTTTAAGAGCATAAGAAGTGGTGAGAGCCACCCTTTCACCAGCACAGAACATGGACACAGCTCCACAGGTCCCTATTCAGGCTGACTCCTGGGGAAGCAGCATAGTCTGGGGACAAGACAGTAAAAGGGAAAATGAAGAAAGCTGGAAGCTCTCTCCTGTACCCTTAGGTAAATAATTTCCCTTGTTTCACCTTCCAGCACCCCTTTATTTATGTTTCCAGTCCCTGGAGATCAAGCCTTTCTTTTGCTTTGCACCTGCAGAGCACTCCATGGTATGAGAGGGCAGGAAAACTCACAGCTCAAGCTCATCATCAGTTTTTGGTGTGCAGGGTCACCAACCACAAACAATTTGTGCTTAACACAAAGCACCACCACACAGAAAGGACCTTCCAAAGCTTCCTGTGTCAAAGCCCTTGGAAAACACTTAGATCTCCACAGCCTGCTGCTGAAGGGTTTAATCAAGCATGGAGACCTTGACTTTAGCAAAACAGATTTGCAACAAAATGCTGCTCTGGCCATGCTGCCTGAGCCTTTGTTTTCCCCAAGCATGGCACTGCCCCAGCCCAGGAAAAGCAAGGAGCCTCAGTTCCTGCAGCAAGCACTGCCAATGCCAGCGATGGGGCAGACACCACCTGGGCTTTGCCACACCCCAACACACACCACACACTTTATTCCACCAGCACACGCCAGGATGGACCTTCTGGCAAACCCTCCTGCCCTCTACCAAAGACAAAATTAAGAGAGAACAGTTATAAAATAGTGCTTACTTGCCAGAAGAAGCTGAGCTGCAGCAAGGGAAGGGCAGAGCCAAGTGAGTGTCTCAGAGCAGGCTGAGGTGCTGGGCAGCTCCTCACTCACACCTGCACAGCCCAGCCCCAGGGCCAGTGGCTACAGCTGAGTGCTGGCCACAGCAGGGCTGGGGCTCTCACTCCAGGGCAGAGCTCCAGGGGCTGGGGGAACTCTGCTTCCCAGAGGTGGCTTTCCCAGCAGCATGTCCGTGTCACAGCTCTCTGTCTATCAGGCAGTATTTTTTACCAGCATGTGTGAACACACTTAGGAGTGAAACACTTTGCAAAGTCATCCTCTTCCTTCTGATCCCAAACACTTTGGTTTATTTGGTTATGTCACCAATACACAAAAGACAATAAAAATAAGATTCTTCCTGCTTTTGACAAAGATGCACAGGACCAATTTGGCACATCTGAGGGTAAGGAAGGTTGGAGGGAGATGATCAGGAGACATCTCTCTTAATCTTTCTCTCTTTTGAGTAGCCAACATTTCTCTTGCAGCTATTGAAAGGGGAGTTTTTATATTCTCAAATTACTGGGAAATACCAGTCTGATAGTGTTTCCTCTAGGAGAAAGCACAGGGTCACAGGCATTCACTGAAATGTATCCAGATGACACTGTCCAGAGGAAGCTCCCTTCACCTGTTTTTTATATGCTATTAAGGTCCTATAGAAACTATGTTAGGAACCCACTGAACTCAACTGTAATTCTTCTTCCTGTGTAAAACAGAGTAAAAATACAGTATACAGTAAAACAGCACTTGAATAAGCCAGGTGGTAGGAAGCTGCTGCTGGTGTCTCATCCTGCAGATAAAAGGTTCTCTACCTGGTCATCTCTCAGTTAATGGGATGCCACTCTCAGTGCCAACAGGCCAGTGGGGTAAGCATTTCACAGGGCAGCTGAGCTAAGAAGTTTGTTTCTAGCAAAAAAAAACCCAAACAAAACAAAAAAAACAAACAAAAAAAACCAGGAAAAAAATTACAAGTTAGTAGTCAGGCTACAAGGAGCAAAATCCTCTTCCTGCAACTGTTGCTATGCTGGAAAGAGAAGGAACACGACACAGAGGAACAGAACCTGTGATTCATGACTGTACCTGCAGGTTAGAAGGTCTGGCTTCTCCCAGATTCTCTGCTTGGATCTCTTCAACAAAATACACAAATACCCCATCAACAGCCAGAGGCACAGTTACATGTTTTGAGCAACAACGACCTTGATGGGGTTTTCCAGGATTCATCAGGTTGGAGAAAGGAAAAACTTTAGAACTGGCACAGAAAACCTACAGAATTGGTAAGGTAGTAAGAAAGAAAAACGAATGGACAGAAAAGTGTAGTTAATGAAAACTGCCTTTTACTCTGCACCAGAAATCCTGAGGTAAATGAATTGAACACTGGCAACATGGAGGAAAAGGAGGGAAAAATGAACCTGCAGGGATGCTTGTACTATAAACCCTGTAAGTCACTCTGCAAGGCACATACCTCAGCAACATATTTTCCACATTTCACCAACTGCTGTTGTCCAGGCACTTTCTATTTTCAAAACCTTCTATGTATATAAAATGTATACAGGCAGGACAATACTTTTTCATCACATCCCCCGTGTTGTTGTGTTTTCTTTCCATTTTGGACAAATGTCACCACTTAAGAAAAGCCTTTCTTTTTAAACACTTTCAAATTTGCCCTGTTTTAGCTAAACGTGACGTTCTTTGTGAACGTTAAACAGCAGAGAGAGAGACTGGGAGGGAGAGAGAGACACACACACACTCACTCACTCCTGGGGAAGATATTCGTCCATTTAAGGCATGAGAAATCATCACATTCAGCAGCAGGTCTAAATACAGTAATATGAAGGTCCCTTTCACTCCCCCGAGCAGGAAAATGTCACTGTGTACCAGACACCCAAATACTTGGGAATCAAGCAAATCCCTCATTTTTCAGAAGGGAGCCAAATCCTTCTGCTGAACAATGATGGAACTGTAGTGCTACAGTTTACTTGCTGCACACCATCTCCTTCGTGGCTTCTGGACTGGGATGGCAGGGTTAGACCAGTCATGGGACCAGCACAGCATTCCCTCCTGGAGATAAGCCTGAGGGGCCATGGGATATCTCACAGGCTCCCTTCAGCACCTCCTGCTGCTGGTGGAAGGAGCAGGACAGCATTATTCCAATGGCACACCCTGCAGAGCCTCCTGCTGGGAGCAGAGGCACAGAATAAATGCATTGCCCTCACTGGGGGACATCCATCCCAGCCCCTGCACCCTCAGAGACAATGCAGCATTGCCACACTCCTGGGAGTGCATCTTACACTGCACTTACCCCACTGCCTCCTGCTGACACTGCCTAGGGCTGGAGCAGTCAGAAAACCAACAAGTGCCCTTTGGAAAACATTTTAAAAGGACCTGATTTCTGTAACCATCCCTTTTTCCCCTCCCTTGACCACCCTACATACATATTTCTCCTGAAAATAAGAGTCACAGCAATCCAGTAGTAGCCTGATGTTAAATAGTGGTAACTCATATTTATTACAATTATATACAATCATATTTTATATTTGAATCTATACATGATCACACAGACGAGCACACTTGCTTGGTGAGGACAGTGAGGCTCAGTTGTTACAAGAATTGCTCTGCTAAGATGCTCTGATGCAGTGAATATCATGGACACCACCATTTACCAGCTGCAAACACAATGCTGCAAATGAGAGGTTTAAAATTCACTGCTTTGTGTATGGCCCAATGGGGCAAAAAATAAAAGGCTGGACTGGGCAAGAAGGGCCAGTGGTTAAACCTCAGAACTGGAGCTGTTCTCTGCTAGAGAGACACTGCTTTGCTGCAGGTGCCTGCCACTGGAGAGGTACCATTTATGATCATTTTTCTTCTCATTTAGGGAGAAAAAAAGGCTAAAAACCATTGCAAATATTCAGAATTAACCAACTAGTTCAGCATCTGATTTCACCCCATTCATTCATTCATTCATTCATGGCAGCTATAAATAAAAGATGTCAAAAACTGATGTGAGCTCCTTGCCTTTGGAGGAGGAAGGGTAATAACTGGGATGAGTAGAGTCAACTTCTTCTAAAGCCTTTTACTGGGGAGCAATCATCAATAAAGTCACCTGTTCTCATGGATTTTATGGTGGCCATGACACCTGGACTTGGTCCCTACCAACAGGCCACTCTGATGAATATAAACATGTGGGGTGGAAATAGAATTCTTTGGACCCCACAGAAATTTAGTGTTTTTACGTGCTAGGTAGTTTCAGCAATTTGAGGCTTGGTATAAGGTTTGGAAGAGCCAAGACTGAGATCTGGTGAGGAATTTGAGGTTAAATTTTTTTTTGTTTTGGTTTGGTTTTTGGGGTTTTTTTTGCAACAGAGTATCAAGTAGTCTGAGAAATAAAACAGGGTTATTTTGGGAAACAGAGAACTGGTTTGGGCCTTATGTGGGATTAAAGGCTTGTGAAATCAAGGAGCTCAGGACAGACTGGTTTCTGAAATTGGATAGAAGGGCTCTAGGATGCAGCAAGAGGCCAACTGCTTCTGTAAGAGGGAGAATTCTGTAGCTGTGGTGCATGGTAAGGCCATCGGTCTGCCAGCCTAGCAGTGACCCCAGCTCATGGGAAGAAGGGCTGGGAGGGGAGAAGAAGCCACTGCAAGACTGCAGAGCCCTGTGGTGAAACAGGGCAATCACGCTGTTCACCAAGCAATCATGACCTTGCTCAAGGTCAATCAAGGGAGAATCACTGCAGGGAATGGGAGCTTTTCTCTCCACAAAATGGGAGAGGCACTGGGGACAGTGCAGCAGGCTGGGGCAGATGTGCAGCAGCAGCAGCAGCAGCCAGGGTGTCTTAGTCAATCTCGTTCTCGTTGCTGGCCCCCTCAGGTCTCCGGAGCTTTTCCACCTGCTCATTGATCTGACCATCCCCTCCTCGCCGGTCCTCAGTCTGGACACCCAGACATTCCTCCTCATCCACGTGGCTGACATCATCATCCTCATCGTCCTCCTCCTCCTCCTCCTCCTCCTCACTCCTCTTGGTTTCCCGTTTCTCCTCCTCCCCCTGCACCTCCATGCGCACCTGGCCCGTGACGTCGATGGCCTTGGTGGCCTCGTCGGGGCTCAGCAGGTGGCAGCTGCCCTTGGAGCCCTCGGGACTGTGGCTCTCCTTCACTGGGGACGACGTGCTGGACTCGTTGCTCACGGGGGAGATGTCACTGCTGCTGTTGTGGTTGGCAACAACGGGGGTGGAGGGCGAGCTTGGCTTCACTGGGATCTGCCATGACGGGATCTTGGGAGCTGAAGGGGAGGGAGGGAATTGCCTCCTTGGGGAGGAGAGGGAAAGAAAAGGAAAGAAAGGGGCTTTTACTATAAATACTGAGGGGTTTCAGCAAGACTGAAACTGCAAGTTCTTTGCCATAAAAGAGCAAAACCAAGGCCACTTCTCCAGAGAGATTCTCAAAGTGCTTTACAAGCACTCAGCAACTGAGCCTGTACACAAGGAAAATATCCCAGCTGGGCAGTCTGAAGCACTAAACTGATCTGATTTGGCCAATTTCACAAAGTAAGCTAGCACTGCTATGCTGCCACTGAAAAGACATGGGTGTCCCTTTATAAGACAATCACTAATTAACTGGTACAGAAAATTCCCACTGGAGCAAGAAGTCAGACACACCAGGTGCCTGAGCCAGGGAATTTCACCACCTGGCTCTCACTCACTGTGATACACCACTATTGCACTCTGATCATTGCAATCCAGAGCCTCACTCCCAGTCCCAGCACGCACTTTTACATGTTTGGGCCAGGCTGCCACAAACTGGTTCAGCTCCTCTGACCCGAATGGAGTCACACCAGCTTGCACCAGCTGGAAAGCTGGCCCCGAGTCCCTTCCTAGTGGATTTTAAGGGTATGATACCAGCAGGCTAATGCCCAGTACTAACAGGAGATTCCAAGTGCCAAGCAGGACAAACACAAGTGCAAGGGGAGCACTGGTGCCCTCAGGAGCCATCCATCATGAAGGGTAAAGCACAAAAGCATGCCTGATGTAATACTCCCATGCATCCTTGCTGTGTATGTGAGAAGTGGGAGTATGAAGAGGGGTCAGATCAAGGTCTGCAAAGGCTGTGTGCCAGGGGGTGCTCATGGCCCTCAGGGCAGCTGGCAGAGCAGAGGAAAGCTGGCTGCTCTCCTGCACCGAGTGCTCAACTCAGCACTGCCTTCCCTGAGCCTCAAGTGGGAACAGGAGCTGCTGCTACTGCCACCAGCAACCCTGCAGAATTGGGCTGAGCTCACCCCATCCTCTAGGAGTGCTCTGCTGATTCTTTTCATCCTGGCTATGCCCTGACCATGAGCAAGGCAACTGAACTGCACCCACAAGTGACTTTCTAAAACAGAATACAGGTGCAGCTGCAGTCAATTCCTCCAACTAGATGAGAGACATCCTGACTGTGGGGGAAGAGCAAACAAAAAGGAAAAATCTTATCAATTCCCTAAAGCACACTGTGATTTAAGGCCAGGTTGCAAACAGAAAGTGATAGTGAAGTGAAAAATGGTGTTATTAAAATAGTAGTAACAGGATACAGAGATAGTTCCTGTTGGAAATGCCTTTCCTCTCCACGACTGAGGGAATCCCAGAGAGCAGCACTTCCCCCACAACAGTCTGCTCCTGTATTGCATCCATACCGGTTCAGGAGAAGTCCTTTCAAAGAGTAGATCTCAGATTTCAATTCATTAATATTCTGCGACTCCAGAATCCAATTGGTGGAAGTTGTGGCCTAGGATGTGAAGAACAAGACATAAAGATCAATCTTTGAACTGCAAGATGGTTCACCAATGTCACTTTTTCCTATGTTATTCTTCTGCTCCCATCTGGGAATTTCAAGCCCTGTGGATAACTCACATAAGCTCTATCACTCAAAATTCTCAGATCTGAGCAAAACAACTGCCACACTAAGGAGTACTTGAACAGATCCCCACGATGACCAGAAACAATACCTGTCTCAAGGTGCCAAGACTATTCAATATTTGCCTTGTGTTTGAGAGACTAATTAATCCTGTCTCCAATCTTCCCTCCCATGCACAACCATTGCTAAAGCATCTCAAGGGGACATTTCTTTTTTCAGGAGGTCAGCACTTGTGAGAATTCAGGCACAGCTGGGCCCACATTGGATGTTTTTCACCAACATATCAGACAGAGAACAATACACAGAGAGATAAACCAAATCATTTGGCACTGACCTACTGAATGATTTCTAGACAAGAACTAGAACTAGGATCCTGAACAGCAGTGGGAGTTGCACTGAATCAGATCCTTTACTCCTTCATGTGACTGAACTTAGCTGAGGCAACAGATTTGAATATTATATGTTAACAACTGTTTTAAAACCATTTGCTCATTTCTCCTAAATCATTAAAGAAAGAATCAATTATCTGCACTCTGTAGCACTTAGAGGTGGGCTGATAAATACATACTTGAAAGTTACAAATATTTTCCCTACTTGATCTGAAGAATTAGATCTATGCTTGAGTTACCAGGTGGTATCTCCAGAAGCAGCTGGACTAGGCACTGTCTCTTGGATATTTCAAGGCAATGAATGCAGTTTTGTGGGGAAAGATGATAAGTAACTCATGGAAGCCTGGTACAGCTGCTGTTAGAATTGCATCAGAATTGTCATGGGATATCAGGCAGAAATTAGAGTCAGTAACTGAGGATAACATGCTGTAGACAATACTTCTTGCACTCTTTCTTTTAACCCTTTTGAGAACGTGAGAAATGGGACTTTTCTAAACACAGATCATGGTCTATGGTTATCCCATCCTTTTGCTCCAGTAATTCCTGTAGCCATGAGACCAAAGAATACTCTGCCTGGCACGCCCCACAGTCATTTCTGCTAAAAGCCATTAGGAACAAACACACTGGGGACTATCACTGCAGAGATAGTTCTAATAAATTCCCCACCAAAGGAAGCCAGAATTGGAATAACTAAAACCTCCTCAGCAGTTCCCACTAGATGCAGCCAGAACTGTTGTTGCTGCTCCTAAGCAGACCTGAGGCAGTGCAGAGTGAGCCTGCAGCCAGCACTGCTCCCAGTGGCTGCTGGGCTGGGCGAGGCCTGGGCTGCAGTAGCTGAGTTATCCACACATGGGATCCCTCAGGATTCACACTCCCAGCCTCAGACAGCAAGAATCCAGGAGCCACTGTTCTGGCTTTCTAAGACCTTGAAAGCTACAGCAGCACATTAACAAGGGAGTGATTTCCACTCACTGGCCTGCAAAGGACTCAAATTTCCAAAACACATATGGTGCCAGATGCCTAGGATTTAGAAATAAAATCTGACATCTGGGGCTTTTTAGCCAGTCTCTTTAAAAACAGTTGTAGAAAATTCAAGCCTTGAATTTTTATGTACGTTTTTTAATTACTTAAAGTCCCTCTTTTTAATTTTTTACAGCATGCCAGTAGGAGTTTGAAAAGCAGATATAAAAACTTACATTACAGCTGAGAAAACACAGCTTTTATTCTTTGGTTTGTGGGGTTGCCCAAGTTTTTCTTTGTACACATGAGGTTTAGATATCATAACAATGTGTGCTACCATTTCAGTGCAGGGGGTAGAGAGGGGGAAGGAAAACTTCTTCAAGACTCTCTAAACCACCAAGACTTATGGCCTTTTTCCTTCTTAAAGCTCAACATGTGTTCTTAATCTTAACACTTAAGACCTGAAAACAGTTTTCCAATTTCCGGACTGGCTCCAGGCCACTGTCAGGCCACAGTTCCCAAGGAAAATTGAAGCAGAGTGTTGTGACCATAAAGTGGCTTTCATGGCTGCATTTACAGCTGTGCCACTGAGGGATTCCTCCTGCACAGTGTGCACAGCACAGAGTCAGCTGTGCCCCACCAGTTACACACCATCAAAGGATCTGCAGCAGATCCAGTGTGCCAAGGGGAGAAAATTGCTCCTGCTGCAGGTAAAGGGCTGGAACACTGCCTGAAGGACTTCACAGGAAAACCTCCCTGTCCAGAGATTCCACACAATAACTGCATAATAACCTTGGCCTTGAACAATCCCAGTCAGTGAGTCAAAGGAAGACTTCATCTCCGTGTGACTGCTTCACATTCTCCCTGCCTCACAGGCCAACAGTTACTGCCTGATAGAATGCTTGGGCCAAGGAGTAAAGCACTAATTCTCATTGCCAGAAAGAAAATCAATTTTGGTTAAAAGTGGTTACTTTACTTACATATGTAACAACACAAACTAGTCAGAGTTGATGGTTTTATTGCCCAGTCAAGAGTCAAGGGGAATGGGTCACTGTGTGTCATTAACAGGGTTGTAATGGGACCACCTGTTACACTCAGCTGACCAAAATCATTGAAACAAGAACCCAAAAAGTAAGAATGCTTGGCCATTACAGGGATCTGAACAAGTGACTTCAAGACAGTCTTTCAAATGTATGCTTGGCTGAACAGGATGCACAGAGTACAGGACACATACAAACCTGTAAAATTACATATTACATACACAAAAAAAATTCTCTGCACAACTATCTTTGCCTCTTTTGGTCAGTGGACAAACTCCACAACAACTTCATCTAAAATGCAGCACAGCAGATGCAGAGCTGAGAACAGGTCTCAGACCTCAGACACGAGAGCTTCATCTGAAACTACACAGTAAAGCCCTCTCTGAAATCAGATTTATTTCAGTGAGTACCCAACTCTTATCCAGTGCTCTAACCACACCACCCATGAAGAAGTCAGATGCAAAGAAACTGTTTGGGGATGTGGCAAAGCTGATGGCTGGCTTGTGAACCCAATAGGTGCTTTCCATGTGCCCACAAGAGAAGCCATGCGTGCTCCAAAACTGATGATGCTCTAAAGGTGAAGAGTTGGAAGTTGGTACCTTAGAAGCAGCCAGTTCTTGGGTGAGCTCTTGGATTTTCTGTTGCTGCTGGATTAGCAGCTCTTGGACAGCTGCTAAGGTTGTCTGTAACTGAGTCACTGCAAGGGAAAAAGCAGAAGAGTTAAAGTGAGATACATCCACATATACACACACTCACCCACGCCTTTCCTGCTGTCTAGCTACAAAGATGCCTCTATTCCCACTATATTTAATTTATCTATGCCCGCCTGCTCACTTTAATCCATATGATTTATTTGCACTATGGGTAATCTACCTGCACTGCATCTAACCTCCAGTATTTCTAGTTTATCTTTCCATTGTATAGATGTCTATAGCCCACAGTATATCCGTCTAAAACCTCTCCCTTTTAATTATATTGGTTTATGATTTGTACATCTCCCTGAACTTACACAATGTTTGTATCATTTATCTATCTCAGGGCTCTTGCAGGCAAACACTGGGGCTAGCTGCAGTCTGGGAAGAGGCTGCTCTCGGGGTTGACCTTAGGGTATCATGAGAAATGAGAGATGCTTTTCCTCTCACCCTTCAATGAAAAGTGTAATTAGCATCCTCCCATTCTCAACCCACCAGCTTCTTCAACCTCAATATCTTTAATAAACTTACAGCTGAAAATCATAGCATTTTTTAATCCCAACTGAATATACTTTGCACTTTTCCCCTTTTATTTCAAGAGAGCACCCTGTATTTCCTTCCTACACCCCAGCAAACACTGAAGAACTTCTGCTGGACTCCAGCTGTAGAACTTTTTCTACTTTGACACTTTATCCAAAGCTTCCAGGGAGTAAACAAGCTGATAAAATAAATAAAATTTAAAACTGCATTGGTATGACAGGTAACAGCTAATCCAGACCATCATTAGGGCTTTGGGTAATGAACAGATACCCTATAGAGTCAATAACATAGAAGGTGGCTAAGGTCAGAGAGGCACAGTAATTACAGACTCTCCTGACCCTTCCTCGGATTTTCAGATGGAAGGTGGGGATAAACCACCAAAAAAAAAAGCCCCTGAAAACATCAGAGAAGCAGAAATTAAAAATGAACTTTACAGCCCTCCGAAAGGCTGTCATTTTATTCCCCTTATTAATATTCTGAGGTTGGGAGCCTTTCCGTAAAAACATAATTAATTGAGGCCGTGCCGACAGTAAACAAGCAATTTCAAATTAAACCGAAATGACGGCGGCTTCATTTGCAAATGTGAACAGATTCTCAGAGCAGATAAATGAAGTCACCACATAAAGTGGAGATGGAGGGAAAGAAAAGGGTGGGGGTCTTGGCAGAATGGAGGATACAGGGAGAAAAGCTTTGAGGGGTGAATTGATGGAGTCATTAATCTTTACCTGTCTGTGTCACACTGCCACTCATCTCAGAAATGTTGGACTCAATCCTCTGAAGTTGTTTCCTGTCTTCTTTGCCTCCCATGATGAGAGGGACCAGATATTTCTGCATGGGGTACAGAAACTTTTTCAGGAAATAGGGATGTGCAAAGTGCTATTTCTAATATACCTGAAACATCCTCAAATCCCACCCCCCAAGTCTCAGCCTTTATCACAGAGTCAGTGTTCATTTATCCACACATCTGGCTGAGAAAAGAAATTTCCTCTACAGAAAGTGTTAAAAGAAGTTGCAGAAGAAGAGTTTTGTGGTTACATCTGTCAGGGTGCTGAAAACCAGTTCCTAAATCTGGACACAGCCACGAAATCTGCCTCATTCCACCCTTGCAGAGGGTGCACTGGATATAACAGGTCACAACTCTCCTCTAGCTACCATGGGACCTTCTGCAACCTCATCCTAGGAATGGAAAATGCTTCAACAGGAGCACACACAATGGACATGACCTGATTTCCAGTAGTTTTGAGATCCACGGCTAAAAACTACTTTTGTTTACTTGCCACGTTTTGACTCTGCATTTTCATGTTAAGTGTCTACATTTCTCAAATAAACAAATGGCAGTGCCAGTGAGAACAGAGATGCTTCACCAGCTTGGAACCAGCATGATCATTTGGACACAAGCAGCACACCATGTTTCTCTCAGAGTACAGCGTGGAGTGGCAAGGGCCACGTTACCTTGTAGAGCTGGTGGAACCCAAAGGCAATTCCTGCCATGATGATAGCCAAAGCCCCATAATCTCGCCATCTGGAGCCAGGGGGACCTAAAGGTCAGAACCAAGAAATAATCACAGTCAGAACTAGAGGTGACAACATTTTTGTACATCCATTTTATCAGAGAAAAGAGTAATGATTAACACACAGTGTGCAGGCCTTTGGCTGAGGACATTTAAACATCTGGCCAGACCTCTGGCATTGACTCTGGCCTTGTAGCATCACAGGGAGAGAAATCATAGCAGCAATTAAAGAGGGCCCATCAAGACCCAAGAGGGTCCATCCTGTTTTGCCCAACTCTTTCCTTGTAGAAGGCACTCAGAAGCCAGGTAACTGTCTGTGGGGCTGGTACTAGCTAAGGTTAACTCCTTACCTGAATACCTACTGTTCCCCACTATCACAATTTTTGAAAATGGGGACAGAGCCAGAGACCCAGAAGAGTGCTGGAGAAAGGAAAGAAGAGAGTGTTTTAGGAAAGAAGAGAAATCTATCAGGGCAATAAATGGGTTTATGAAAACTGTGTCAGCAATTATGGACCATTTCAATGAGGAAGGATCCAGTGTCTTTCAAGCTTAAATTACAAATAGGGACCAAAGCACATGTAAGGAGCAGAAAGAAAATATGCAATTAAATATCTACAGAGAGAGGTAAAGAAGCAGATAAAAGCTTGAGATATTTAACACACAATTGTGCACAGAAGCTTAGAGGCTCCACAGAGGAAAGCAGAGATAGGCATGCCCTGCTCCTTCAGCAGAATCAGAAGGTACCTGTAGTTTTCCACCACTCTTATCCTGTCACCTCCCTCGCAGCTCCCTGAACAAACCTTGCACTGCCCCCGGTTTTCTTTAATAACAAAGAGGATGCAGAATGATCTGCCTAAAGTTCAATGGCAGGATGTGGGCAGAACTGACGAGATGGAAGACTGGTGTGGTCTCCAAACCTACTTGTGACTACAGTCTCATAAATGCATTCTCCAAAGCCTCAGTTTAGAAGGCTTAACTGGCTGAAATGGGTGGCCTCTGGTCTCCTTTCTCCTTTGCTCACCTATTGCCATTTTGCTTTCTGCTGAATTCTTCCACATAGGCATTTCATTCCAAAAGTTACCCCCCATCCCAGCACTTAGGGTCTAGAGTATTTGGGTCTGACTCCCAAATACTGGCACTCAGAGATTCTTGCTACATTTTAGGACACAGCTCCTGAAATTATCCTCTGGCTAGAAATCTGAACAAATTAAGGCATCTCTGTCAGAACTGGTGAATACTGTCACCAGGAGTATTTTGGGTTGCTGCAGTTGCAGTTTTGGAGCTTAGGCACATGATCAAATTATCATAACTTTTTAACTTAATGAGTTAACACACGTCAGCCAAACTGCAGTAACTGGCTGTGTACATGTCAGGATTTAAAATGATCTCTCACTAATCTTGCTGTGAACCCCAGCCCTCTATCTCCCCTTCCCCTCTGTGCTGTGCCCCCACTGTCACTTCTGGGATCTGAAATCTCTTGGTTGTCCAGTTCTCTCCCCTGAACTTCTGACTAAAAATATCCTCCTGTGACAACACAGTTTGTTGCAGGCTGAGCTGCTGTTGCACAGGGTTAATTATCTCAGGGTCTGTGAATCCTGCCCATGGCTGTCCTTGATGTCCCCAAACTGTCCCAAACTCCCTCCCAGCTGCACTGACCTCTGAGCAGGAAGGAGACACACCTGTAGGAATCCATCTGCTTTGCCCTTTCACCTCACTCATCTCTGCCTCCATTCCTATAATGCTTCAGCTAAGAACATTTTATTGCCCCCTGGTTTTCATTATTAATGAAAAGGGACCAGAATGATCTTTCCTAAAGTTCAGAGAGTCTATAAAGACAAGAAGCTGAAATGCCATTTTACTCATTTTAGAGATGTGTGAAATCTGTCTTGTGACCAAAAAAAAAAAAAATTAAAAAAAGTAGGGGGGGATGGAGAGAAGAAGTGAGCAAGTGAGGGACACAGCAAAGGCTCTGCACTGACCACAGCAACTTGACAATGTTACAGAGAATGTCACAGCTCTGCCTAAAACCCACGCAACCTTTCTTTTTCTCTGCAGTTCTCTAATCTAAAGAGTGAAGAGAGGTTTAGGAGTTTCTCTGTTTTAAGCTCCATGTTCACTATTTGCATTTCCTCAACTTCTCTACTTGTAAAACAAATAAAATTCTGATAAAGTGAAAAAGCACTGACAGCCTAGTTACTTTAGTCACTGCAGTAGAAACAAACCATTCTACTAAGAGACCTTCAAAAGTCAAATGGAAGGGACACAGACATTTTCTCCAGGTATAAACCTGTTTTCACTAAGTATATTTAATTTCCCCAGAAGTCACTGTAAATTGCATTTCCAGAATAAATACTTACTATTTTTAAGATCCCCATTCACCTAAGAATTAATTTTCCTAACAGTAACTAATTAGGCCTTGTGCATCCAACTTAAGGTCAGCTTCACTAGTATCTGCCTTTAAAACTCTAGAAACTGATGCTGGCAGAGGTGATTTTCCAAAAGAAAACAGTGAATCAATGGAAAGGTGTTGGGGAAAAAAAAAGAGTTTGGATTCTAGTCACCATTTTTAATTGTAAGAGGAAACAGTGTGTATTCTACAGACTTCTACATAATGAAGACACGAGGATGGGAAAAGAAGATCCAAATGGCAAGAAAAAAGTCACTGGAGCTGATTTTTAAGCAGGTGTAAAATCTGTACAAACCCCCATAAATGGAGCCCATAAATACCATGGGGAACAGCACAGACAATACCTGGATGATAAACATGCAGCTTTGCACACCTTGCTCAGAAACTCCCCTGAGTTTGCTTGTAATTATATGGGTTAGAAAGGTAAAAAAAAAAAACAAAAAACAACCAAACAAAAAACCCCCAACAAAAATAACAACAAATTAATCATGTAAATATTTAAAGTCAGATTTTTGTCCTCACTGCTGGATTAGTGTATTTCATAACACCAATAGCAGACAGCCCTGTTTTTTTACTGGGGGTTCATTTTAGAGCATGTTTAAACTAGTCAGATTGAGTGATGCTTCCAGCAACTAATCGCATGTCAAATAAAAGATACTTTATGTAATAAATTACTGCTACAAGTAATTCAAATGTCATTTATCAGTTTTATTATCAGTCAGGCAAAGTCTTGTTTCTCTATATTAATCAAATTCAAGCTTTCTTTAAGCATTTTTTTTAAGCAGTTTTGACACCTCTTGGCAAAAGTACAAACTGGAGAGAAGGAATTACTCCTCTAGAACAAGAGGAGAAGCAGTAGAGATGGTATTGACCTAAAATACTCAAAATTTAATTATTGTCTCTTGTCCATAAAGTTTTTATACTTTCTCTTCAATCAAACCCAGAAGGGGTTGAGCATACAGGACCTATGCTACTCTGAAGGTTTACAAGTGTGCTTTTTTCTTGTTAACTCTTCAAGAATTAGGAATATGTATATAAATTACAGGTACTTCCAATACAGCATTAGAACACTGACTTCAACTGTATAAAAGTATTTAAGTGGTATGAATTTAAGAAATAGAACAAACTGTGGTGGCAACAGCAGGAGATGAAGGAAGCAAATTCCAAAGGGGTACCCAGGATTTACTGCTGTGACTCACAGGAGTGGGCATCTTACACTGGCATTACTGGCAAGATCATCAGCTTGGCTGTTGCTTCATTCCTGCTGAAGAAATGCCTGAGATGGTTCTGAACTTCTGTACTTGGAACCCACAGTTCTAATGTAATTTTTAAACATGAAGCAGCAACACCTTGTGGGAAGAGGGTGCAGAGAGAAATTAGATTTTGTAAAACACGAGACTGTTTTCAGCACAAAACCCTCCTCACTTCGTGTTTTGTGTAGAGGTGTCAGGACTACTAAAAAAAAAAAAAACTTTAAAAGAACCAAAAAAATCAAACACAAAGTGGTTCACACTGATATAAGGGAAGATTAACTCTTCCAGAACAGGGTTGTGGTAAGAGTTATCTGAATGAGCAATGGACAACACCAAGAGGGATCTGGCCCCACTTCTGCAGCCAGGCAGCAAATTTCAATTTCCTGGCATTTTCTGTGGACTACAGCACACAGGAATTAGCCCAGGAGGCAGAATTCAGCCCTAGCCTTCACCAGCACACACAACACAACAGCCAGAAATATTCCAGTTCTGAGCCCAAAGAGATCACAAAAGATTTTTGCCTCAAACTCTGTCAAACCAGAGCAGCTAAAAACTCAAAAAGCAAGTCTAGTATTATCTCCAGCAAACCTGTGCCATAAACTAATAAACACAGCTCTAAGTGGAGTGTTACATCAGTCAGTATCTGCCATAGAGCTGTTTAAGAGCAGCAACAAAATCCTATTCTTTATACTTGGCAGGTAAGTGAAGTGATTTTCAAACTACCAGACACACATGTGAGCTGAACAGCTTCTTTTGATGGATTTTTAATGGTGTGTACTTTGGTTTTTATTGTTTGGAGCTTAGATACTTTTTTGCGAGGTTTGTTTTAAAATGCAAATATATATGTAAATTTTGAGTCTACGCAGATTATGTTGGGACTCTAAAATTTCTTTGAGAGTGTATTTTGTACACAAAAATCATACAATCATATCCACATAGTCTACACAGAATTTCTGCTGTCACACCTCAGATTATTTAAGATGGGAGAGAAAAGTTTTCCAAGTTTTAGAAGGGAAGACTGAGTCCCATGTTGACAAAGTGCTTTTCTGACGTCCTTCCAGTGTCAGAATCTAATTTGCATTGAGTATCCACCTTCAGGTGCAGAGGTGTCACAGGCTGCTATGGATGGCATTTGTTTGTGGACACCGATCATCGGTATCGCATTTTCCTTGTGTAACATGATCTTGTCACAGGCATCAACAGCCACCAAGTGCATTCAAAGTAACATTTGGTGTCCCGTTCTGACAAACAGTCTGTCACCAGGTGAACTGAAATCCAGCTGCAGCACACGAGTGTGCAATCGCTGCAGAAATCAGAGCAGAAAGCGATGGGGAAGGTGTTTCTCAGTGGCACTTACTGTACACCACGGGGGGAGGAGGCTGAGCTGGCACGGGGTGCGTGGCAGCACCTGGGGACGGGGGCTCATCCGTGCTCGTGCCCGACTGCTGCAAAGCCAGGTCGATTTCTTCATCTGTCAGGCCTGGGGGAGCAGAGGAAATGAAATCAGTTTAGCACCTTTACCCACTTTATGCACACATAATTAAATTCTCAAGCCAGGCAGAACCCTTTCAAGCTGCAAAGAATTTTGGCACTGACTTGAGCAGTAATGCCTCCCCAATTTTGGATTCACTGGAATGTCTCCCTCTCTCTTTCTCTGTTGCAATTTAACCTTAAGCGACAGAATATTAGCCTCAACGCGGCTTCCAAATGTGGCTCATTCAATTTCCTTAATTTATCCTTGAGTTTATTGCTGCTTTTGAAGTAGCTTTCTATTGCAATTCTCCATTCTTCCCCCGAAAAAAAGATACCATCAACTGCAAATGTGGCTCATTTTAATCTGTAATGGTGTAAAAAAAAAAAGAGGGGAAAAAACTAACAATAATGCATGAAAACAGACAGGGAAACAAAAAACTAATTATTGGGTTAGACGACTAATTAGTCTAGATCGTTTCCGAAGACGGGAATAATTTGCTTTATTTTATGACAAATGCAGAAATAAAAAAGAAAAAAAATCAGGACTGACTGTGATTAGTATGAATGGGACACAGAATGTAAGGAGGAAATAAAACTATAACAAAACAGATCAAAACAAGGCCAAGCCCAACTTTCAGCTGAGCATTGCCCCGGCCCATTGGTACATGATTAGATTGCCCAGGGGCAGCCTGGCTTTCATTTCACGCAGAGCTGCAGTAACACTGCACACATGGTACACGCTGCTGCACTGACTCCTGCCATCAGGAAACGCCAGGATGACCATCTGTAATTGGCCACAACATATGGAAAGAATTTGGCCAACAAGGAGGAAAAGAAAAGCAGCTAAAGGATTCACCATGACCAGCATCTCTGAAGAAGGAAGCACAGCTGGATTATTTTTTCCAACAGGAGAAAATATCCTCTGGAAAAAGAATTTAGTACTCAGATGGCAACCACGAGATGGGAGCTGGACAGTTGTGCATCATTTCCCCTGCACAGAAACACATAAAAACCCACGAGGAGCACGTGGAGGGACCAGGGACCTTCCACCAGCCAGCGTGTGCAGAAACACCCAGGAAGGCAGGAAGTGAGAACATGGATTTAAGGAAAGAGAATTAGAAGAAAGGGGCAGATCACTTGATTCTCACATGATTCTTGTAGGGACTGAGCACAGTGAGGAAAATGGTACGAGCAGGACAGCACTGGGAAAAAAAGGGGGACTTCTTTCTCTCCATCATCCCCACTGGAGATCCACAAAGCATTGCTGAAATGCTTTCAGATGAAATCCCTGAACTTAATACTCTAAAAACCCTACCTTTTTAATATTATAGAGAGATACATAGATGTATAGAAAATAGTCAAGCCACTGGGTATATTAGCTAAGTTGCAAAAAATTTTTTCAGGATCTTTAACTTCACTGCATTCTGGGGGGTCTAGACAGAATAATCTGTAGCACAAACAATATTGTCAGAAACAAATACACAACTCTGTCTCAGAACTGTTCTTTAATATCATATGCACTAACACAGTGCCTGTGGTATTCAGAAGGCTTTATAACTATTAACAGATCTTCTCTCTATTCCTGTGAGCGTGTGAGAAACTGAGTTCCTGTGAGACACCATTCATCTGCTCCACCGAGCATTTCAGAGAACTTCAGTGACTCCTCTAACAACAAAATACTGTCAGTGGAAGAAACAGTATCAGAAATGAAAAGTTCCTGATCTTTGGTCGTGCAATCTGACAGAATCATTCCATGACTTGTATTTGATGCATGGCTCAAACAGCAAGGAACCAAAACCACACAAAACAGTATGGAACAAGGCTTGCAGTGAGAATAATAAAAGGCAGATAAACACAACTCAGCGTATTGCTCTACTCACAAAAGCATTTTTTACAGTGTCTAATACATGCTAAAAAGCAAAGTCCAATCAGAAAGAAACTGTTTTAACCAGCTACTCATTATCCAATGTAGAACTCATAAACAGATGCCAACACTGCAGATCACCAGCAACTACTGGATTTCATAAAGATGGAGACAACATTAGTTGCTTGCTGCAAATGTGGCATTTTGTTCTATTTCCATGCAAATCTGATAATATTTAACACTTAGAAACATGAGAAGTAATAGAGACTCCTCATTCTGCAAAAAGCATACATTCATGCTGGTCATTTCTCACACACAGTAACAAAAATGGACAAGATATTCTAAAGCTCTTCTCAGGCAAGTATAGCCAGCTCATCACATTTCCCTTTGGAAGGTTTTTTCTTCAAATTCACCACCTATGAATGCACACAGTATGAATTTTCCATGCCCAAATTATTCAACTTGGATATATTCATTACATACAAAAGTGTGAATTTCTAAACCAGATCTAAGTGTCATCTGTTCCAATATCTCATCTTGCTTTATTTTATCACAGTCCTATCACTGCACTACATGAAAAAGTATCCATGTTCATTCATTGTTCTAATCTAGCAGGAAATTGGTAACCCAAAAACAATACCACTGCCCTTGGATGCAAAAGCAGCGTCACAAAAACTGGGGCTTTGTGTCTAGTGTAGCTCTCAAACAGGTATCTCAAGAAAATCACCTCAGCTGAACAGTGGAATTGCTCTAAATGCACTTCCCAACACTCTGGAAAACAAACATTTTCCTTGTTCTGCGGCTGCAGTAAGATCAAGTCCATGCAGAATGCAAAAGGTTAAAAGGAACAATAAAGGAAACTGCCAATTGTAAGTGAATTATATTTGGCTTTGAAAGCTGAGCCACGGCTATATTATAAAAGGCATCTCTTTGCGTTGTTTACCATCACCCTGACTAATGCAGACCTTTTTTTTGTTTTAAATAATCTCATGCAAATTAGACACACACTTCCTTCCAGTTGATTGCTATCTGCAAGGAATAATCTAACTGCAGAGGGTACTGAGCAAGGACTGAGCTGGGGAGAAGGATGCACAGAAACTGTCTTCAGAGCCCCACAGAATGCAAACCTGCTCCCTTCCCCCAGCCAGCACCACAGCCATTGCAAAGAATTAGTCATAATTTTCACAAAGCTTTAAAAATTCCTTTTCAGGCTTCAGGGTGTTGATTTGAATAATCCAGCACCCATGATTGTTTTGCACTCAAAGGCTCTTGCTGACCCTCTTTTTTGATTGTCACTGCTGCCACTCAATTTGCAGGCATCACTCAGCCTCTAAACTGTAGTCAAACACAGAAACAGAGCAAGTCAGAAAATGAAATGGGTTGTCACAAGCATCTCTTGGTGCCTGCACCTTGGGTGTTGTATAAAGAGCTCTTTTGTACAAAAACTTTTAAGACTTGACTGTCTGTTGATGTCCTTTTATAATACCTCTTACTATTTAAGGACCTCAGGTACATCAAAACACTGTTCCTCTTATGACCACTCTGAAGTAAAGGAGTACTTACAGTACCATCACCCATATTTCATAGATGAGGAAGAAGTGACACATACACACATGAGAAATGCTCCAAGGTCAGAACTGAACCTTTGGCAGACAGAAAATAAACCTCAGGAGATGTGAGTTTTAGTTATTTTCTGCAAAACACAGTAGCAATAATTGCAATGTAAAACCCTTTCATAAACTTAGCTAGATGAGCCACTGCTTTTTCTTCTTCTGACAGGCTCTGACATATTAGTGACAACCCTTTTCCTGTCCTATGCACTGAAAAGGTATTTTTCTTCATTATATTCCTCCTTACGTTACTCAGTCCAGTAATTCACACAAGTTTTTCACAACCTGAAGGCTACATCAGTTTTGGGGAGGCATTTCTGTTTAGGTGAAATTAAGAAGTCTGCCATAATCAGGAAAGGTGGTAGAAAGAATTCAGTTCTTTGTGGGTTTCCAAAGCCAGCTTTATTACCACTCTAGACCACCCTGAAGCAACCCCCAGCCACCCCTGGGCAGGGACAAAAGGCAGGAGAGGCTGTGGGGCAGCTGCTGGCTTTTTCCCACACTCTATTAAGGAGAAAACAAAGTAGGACAGGACAACTTGTTTAGCTACAAGAACCCACACGAGCACCTGAAGCTAGTGCTGCTATCACATGACTGAAAGGAAGATGTGTACCCTGAAATGACATTACTCTGCTGTTCCTGGAAGCCACTGAGTCAACTCTGCTCAGAAAGAACATGGCCACATTTTAAGAGAATCATCATAAAATCCTTCTGGGATCTGATCCAGACTAATGATTCCACCTGTTCACTCGGTTCCATGCAGTGCTGGGTGACTCTTATCAAACCTGCCTGCTACGTCCTGTCCGTGCCCAGCTGAAGGTATTTCAAAAAGGTCACAAAGGCAAAATCTCCTGACCCATTTCTTTCACACATGGTCATTCATGAGGGCGAGCCCAACCCAACATTTGAATAAAACCCAAGGTTTCAGAAACATCACTCCGATTTTTTTCCCTTGATTTACACTGAGACACTGCATTTGAATGTAAACATCCTGGTCCTGCACTTCCAGTTCAAACTTTAGTAAAGGAACCCACACATCAAAGGGACATGAACTGGTCTCAACTGTCAGGCTGAAAAATGCAGAAATAAAAGTAATTTGAAAAGTTGCTGAAAGGGCTTTGAATTCTTACAGCTCTGTTCATCTAGGAGACTGTTAATTATGCAAGTGCAATCTTTCAGAAACATGATACACTTTAACCCATCAGGGTGACTAAGCAGCAATCAGAACTGATAAGGGTGCCCTAACCTCAGCTGCACAGCACTAAAATAAGGAAGGAAAACCAGACTAACAGAGCAATGCTAGGAATTACACAGTGAGTCAGCCAGGAATGAAAAGGTTAAAACAAAAAGTATTTTGGCATAACAAGTATAAATAAATAAATAAATAAACAAATACAGCAGCAGTTTTTCTTCCTACCTAAGCTTTTTGGAGTCTATAATAAAATGAAGTGTAATGGAGGAGAGGAGGGCAATGTCAGAGGGTGAGGGTTTGGGAGAGAGGTTGTTAAGTATCTCCCTCTCCTCAGCTGTGTT